ACAGGATGCAACAGAGCTTCCGCTGAAGATTCTGCCAGGCGTAGCTATTTCCAAATCCACATGGCTGATCACACGCAGTGGGGCGTGCCGGGGGCAATCCTGCTTGGATGCGGACAAGTACCACTCCATAGCTTCTAGTATGGCGCAAATCCCATGTGTACGAGGACCTGTGCGTTGGCATGAGCGTGGTACGTGAGCATGTGTGCATCTGAGCCGTCTGCCGCAGCCATGGAAGCTCTGCTGGAAGCCCAAAGAACTAGCTGCGCCAAGTGTTCCGTTGTACGAGTAGGCGAGACAAGGGTCCGTTCTTGGGATTCCTTCAAAGGAATCAGCCGGCGTATGGAAAATTGCCTGAAATGTCCAAAACCAAAGTCCCTGTCAGGGTCTGTCTTCCCACCTAGGAAGCATTTGTACAGTAAGAGTACCACCTGTACAAGCAGTAGATTTGGAGTGACATCCCAAGATTTTACCATGCAATTCATACTGTGCTCTGTCAGAAGCACGTTAATAGTATCATCGTGCGCGTGAATCTTTCGTTTGCAATGGCACACGAAGCACATGCATGCGTGTGCCGCGGCTATAGAATGGGCGCGGCACTGAGATGGCACATGATGGATACCTCTCGGCCACTGGACAGATTTGTCGTTTTCCGTAAAGGGAAGAAATTTTCTGCCTGCTTCAGAATCATACTGCTGCCTTCTCATTGCTCTTCTGAATCTTAGACTGCCCCTTCCCTGGCGGGACTAATCCATGGCAATAACGGATGCGTTCCGGCCTGTGAAATGTGCTCCGCTACGTGTCAAGAGTAGAGCCGTGCCGGGGTTCTTCTGTCCTCCGTACGGACGGCACGAAGGCGACAGTTGGCCGAAGTTTGAGTGGAACGGACCGATCGTCGATGTGTGTGTACTTGTAAGCTTCCCCCTGCTCCGTTGACGAGAGAGCCAAGGCACCCTTGTGCCTCACCAGAGAGCCGCACACAATGGCCAAGCGAAATTCGCACTGTCACCAGGTCCCCTTTGTTTCGAGAATGAACGGAGACTGTGGGGAATACCAATTTCGGAAAGGCGCATTCGCATTCTAGAAACGTGAAGCTTCTACCGAGCACCACAGTACGCATAACAGTCAGGGGAGAAGCCCCGGTTTCCGTTGCAGAGTTCTGCCGAGACCAGCCTTGCTGTTTGTCCTCTGCCCGGTGCCTGAAATGCACACTTGATACTCCCGTAAGGAAAGAGAAGCTTGATGAGAAAGATAACTGTAGCTCTTGGCATTCCCAATGCACGTTGCACCTGGTACAAGCGGTACTTTTATGGGTACTCCATACTCTGGACTGGTTCTGGAAATCGGTCATCTTCTTCCGTGTGTGTGTAACAGCAGCGGATCTGCAAGCACAAGGTACCCGGGGCCGTCGCAAAGGTAGAAATATGATTGTCAGAGGGCTCATCAAGTATTGGGCCGACCAACATAACAAACGCGGATGCCTGAATAAGAGGGCGGTTTGCCTGTTTGTTGCTCCACAGGGTTCTTTGCCTCGCTCGTGAACGTGAGGAACATGGAAGCGTTCCAGAGTCCGATATTCCGTACACGTAGTCTAGATCGGTCTACCGCCACCCTTTCGCCAATAAAATGAAATCCCATATTATGAGAGACTAATTCGGTGCTTTGCCTGAACTTGGTGCTACTGCTCGCTCCGTGTCGCTATACCAGGAGAGCAGTAATTAATTGCTGCTGAGCAGTCGGATGCAACCGACTTGGTAATAACGAGTGTTCGATTCCGTTACATTCAGCTAGCAACATCCAGATCCTTGGGACAGTTTACTATAGGAGCGGGCCGAGTAGAATCTCCGAGACTATCACTAGATAGGCGATGGACGGTCATGTCCGTCTTGAGGTTGCACAGTATGGAGTCGTGATGGCGGGCTATGGCTGGAAACAAACAAATGCTGCAGAAGTGTGCCATTGGCACATGCACATCGCCATGCTTTCGAGCTCGGTACCGTGCAGCCACTCGAGCTGCCATGCTGATTGATATCGTAGCTAGGGGCTGCACAAGCCCCCTGCGGCCAGCGGTACTGCATCCATCAGCACCCCTACCTTGGAGATGATGCCACACTCACATCATGACTGACGTCCAGGAGAGCCATGGTGAACATTGGCGAAGCTTTTTTGCCTTGTCCGACCCGCAGGTGCTTGTTAATGGCCCCCCCGAAATGGCCCTCCTTTGTGGTATCCTCTCTTTATCTCCTGATTGACTCGGCAGATGCAGGATACATGTATTCGGAGAAAGCCGACCTACCTAGTAGTATATGCATACTGACAAGCAGCAAGCACATCCCCTTATTGCCGGTATAGGGGTCTTCGGAACGATCTTGGCATGGGCCGACGCCAGTAACATGATATGGCGACAGGTATGTATGCGATGGAAAGCTGGATACCCTGGGAAATGCCGTGCGGCCTACTCCGAGTCGTAGGGAATATTCCGGAGAGGGGCTTGATTGCTTTGCTGGCGTTGGCGGTGAAGCATGATTCTGCAGAATGGCTTGATGCCTGGGGGGTTTTCACATGGACGGGCAGAAAAAGGCGGTGCACAATTGAGAGAAGGAGCGTGGGTGGTGTAACCACCGCCCACGATGCTTCCACGAGATCAACTACAGGGTACGAGGGCAGATTGAGGAACAGTAACAGATCGGGACATGCACAACACGAATTGACTATGATCAGTTGCACAGACAGCTCACTTATCAACGCCTTGTGTCATTTAGAGGCACGGAAGCTGAGCAACAGCTCTCCAGCCGAGGCTTGTAGCAGCACATGCAGCTTAAAAAAAGAAAAAAAAAAAAAGAGAAAAAAAAGCCAAACGACCAGACAGACATTGCAAGCACATCACCTGCGTTCATAGCTCTGCATGTAAGACGGCAATGTTCCGTATTACAAGCTACCATACTATGTACATGCACCTGCTGCATGCTTACCTCTTGCCAGCAAGTACCGCACAGAATATACTGTAGCGGCGGGAATACGGGACGCTCCGATCGAGTCAGCAGCCGAGAAATCCCACCAACGGGGCTGCAATTCCCTCAGCGCAGGGAGCTGAGAAAAGAGCACTAAAAGGACGAGCCGTTGTGCCTCTGTCAGTTGCGGCTTAATGTGGCGCCGATGCATTCATTCTTTGGTGCAAACAAGGCGCCGCGGCTCAGGAACGGTTGTCCGAGGCGAGAAATAGTTGGTGTTTAGCATGGAGCTTGGAGGAGGCGTGTAGATGAAAACGCCACCACCAAGGCCAGGCAGATGTGAAACGCAGTTGGTACCTCGCAGAAGTACCCAATACACGCTTGTTTTTGAATTTATCCCCTTTTATATCATATTTTCTTATTTTGATTGCCTTTTTTCTCCTCTCGGCACAGTACATTGATTAAAATGTTAGACATTCGGCTGCCGTGACTCGTTTTGCTTTTGCTCTCTCTCCCGCCTCTCATCTGGAACTATGGATATTGGCTCGGAAGTACTCCCGGAGGACACGGGCAGAGACATGGCGGCAAAAAAGAAAAAGGAAAGAAAGATTGACGGTTTGCAATGACTCGGGATCGGCGGGAGAAACGGTGTCACGGCAAACAGGCAATAACAACAACAGCAGCAACGGCAGCAGTACGTACCTGCATGTACATAGGTAGGTAAGCTGTAGGCCTCTAAGCCGGGCCATGTTCCTTGCAATTCGCCACTGCCGCCTCCATTGAGCCAAAATGTCTTGCCATGCCCGCATGCACAAGTCCGAGTACGTACTCGTAGCTGCTTAACCGACCAGGTCTTCCGCAGTCATGTAGCAAAGCTCGAGGCCAAGGAACGAGTACGCAAGGGGAGCCCATTTGCTTCCGCGTCGGCGAAGTGGTACAAGTGGCCGGCCGGTTCCGAGAATAGGAGCAAACGGAGACACTGACCGAGACGGTCGGCCTCACACGGCCTCGCCTTTACCTTGCATTGACTTGAATGCCCGGGTATCCTGTCCACTGCCTGGAAGCGCTGCTTGTGTTTGTGTTCCCGTGAGCTGGGCGCTAGGCTTCTAGAAGATTTCTGCTGTGGCGGGACAGAGAAGAAGCTACCGTTTCGGGTAGATGCGCTACGCCAGGTGCCACCTAGCTGCGAATGGAATTTCATTAGAAACCGCAGCCCCGTCGCCAGACAAAGGTCCAGGCAATATAAATTAGTTCCGCAACGGTACTAGCAAGTGGTAACATGCAAGGCGGGAAGAGAAGGAACTTAAAGTAGCGCCCTGGGTCCTTTTATTGGGGTACCTCTTTTCCTGTACTGGAGCAATGGAGGTGGAGGGTACATGTGTCGGGCTGTATTTGGGCCGTACGGATATCCCGCCGTCTACTGTGCTGCCGTCTCCCCGGGTCTCCTTCATCCTAAGCCCCCCTCGTCACCCACCTCACCATCCTCTGACAAGCATCAAAGCGAGCGACCGGGAAAAAAAAAGAAAAAAACCAGAAAAAAAGTGCCGCTATCCCTTTTGCTCCCCTGGGCTGTCTTACCGGCCTAGAGCTCCGGGGAGCTGATGCCGGCGCGACGGAAGGGCTCTGGAACAAGCAAAGCGCGGCAAGCCGTGGAGCACAAGGACCCTGCATATGTACCGTGACGGAGGTACGAGGACATGTACCGCTCCGTCCAGGCTGCAGGTACCTCGCCGTTGCTCCACTAATGAGGCTCTCAGGGCGCTGCAGCCTGCAAAGTGCGGCCTGCCAGATTTTCACAGAGGCCAAACCAGGTACGCGGTGCCAGAATGCCTGCCTGTGCTGGCGCGGATGATGCGGCCATGGATCGAGGCTTGAGATGAAATGGCCACCACAAACACGCCACCGGCCGGCGGTACGAGTACGCGAAGGCCAGAGACTGGTACTTGTGTTTAGTGCAGAGCCGTCTGGTTGTCTGTCTGTCTTGTCTGTCTTGTCTGTCTTGTCCGTCTTGTCTGTCTGTACCTTGTATTACTGCAGAATGCACGAGTAATAATGCCAGAGCACATGTCTGACGGCATAATCCCACCGCCCTTCTCTGACTGCATCGTCATGATCAGCATCATGGCACACGTTCCAAGAATAGAGCCGTTACTAATCGACGTATGCTGGTACGAGTACAGTATGTTTCCTAGTAGCATACTCATATGCAGGTATGCACATAGCAACTGCTAGCCCTCCTAGCTCCCTCTCGATACGAAGCGACCAAGAAACTCCATCTGCAGCATTAAAGTTCGAGCCGGCAGCACCAGCCCAGCGTTTTGGGTCCGGCCGGCATGGGCTGGATGGTCCAGTTTGAAAGGGCGCCGCTTGGAGCTCGCCAACTGATGCATGGCCAGCTGGCTGCTACAGCGCTGTTACAGCTCCTGCTACAGCACCCGCTCCAGGGCCTCGATGCCTGCCTGGAGCGCTACTGTATTGTACAGTACAGTGCAGCGGCCGCAGTACCGCCGTGCATGTACCAGCCGAGACCTCGAATCTTGGACCAGGAGATGCTGGTCGCTCACGCAGCAATTGATGGCTGGCTCCACCGCACCGCCGACATGGTTTGACAGGGGGTTGCGGGCTCCACTGTTCCAGGAACGAGATGGATCATGGGTTTGTGTTTGATTTCCTCGAGTGACAGCTGCCGCGGATGCAGGGTACGTACTGTACTCTACTCGCACCCATGCATTGTACCTTAGTACTTTGTCACTCTCATTTTGTACCCTCCCTCCTTTTTCTGCTCCCCGGACCGGACCTAAGACGGGCAGTTTTTTTTGCTTGGGGACAACGTCCTTTGCTTGGGATTCCGTTGCGAGTCAAGGTACCCTTTGTGTGTTGTTTTCCCTGCTCAAGGTGTCTTTTTTTGTTTGCATCAAATCAAAAGGAAAAAAAAAAGAGAGAACCTGTCTGTCGCAACTCAATACAAAAGCTCCTGCTTCTCCCTCCCTTCCCCCGATCTCTTCACTCCTTTCAATCCAACCACTCCCATTCCTTCACTCACAGCAACGACCTTGCATATAATACGGGATCGTCTCCCTCGCCGCCTTGCCAGAACAGCGCCAATCCTTTCGCTCTCATCTCATCTCATCTCACGCACAACAGAACCGCCTCTCATCTCTTACAAGTCACTTGCTGTGCTTGTTAGCCTTGAGCCTTCTGCTCCCAACCATCCATCTCGGCCCCACACAACAAGCCTTGCCTTGCTCACTCTCACGCTCACGCTCATTCTTGGACCGAATACGGCACCCCATATCCACACAGTTTTTCGCACCAGTGTCAGGTACCCGTGTATTTAGCGGCGTACCCGATTTCCTCGACTCTTGCGCTTCCGTTTAATTACGAGCTGCCGTCGTCAACAAGGGCCCCTATTCCCACGCTTCCAAAGAAGCTTTTAATTCCTCTCGTTCCCGCTGCGTTTCTGATCTGATCGACCATCATCTTTTTATTTTTTTGCCTTGTTCCACTCATTACTTCGCGCCGGCGTCCAAGAAAAACAGTCCACTCCTTTGGCACATACACGACCACTTAATCTAATAGCCCTTTGGCATCTTCACGCTCTCTCACGCCCTCACACGCACACTTCTGCCTCGGCACTCCCATAATACTACAACTTTTTAATGTAAGTTTTGCGCATGACAATCTCTTGCCTCTCGCCTTGGTCCATATCCATAGGTACTAACAAACTTGTCCTTGCAGACCTCAACCTCAACGCCAACACTCCACCATCCAAAATGATTGCCGCCAGCTCCGAGCCTTGCAACTTCGGCCGTGGTGCCTATGATACCACTGGCCTCCCCAAGCCTCCTCCTCCTCAGCCTCAGTAAATGGGGAATGCGACCCAATGGGATTCGACAATGTCTTCCAACAACAAACGCATTTTACGTCCATTTTTTCTTTCCACTTCTTACTCTTCACGCCCGAGGCCTCGTCGCAAGCGATGGGGTTTCACATAATCTTTTCATAATACTCTTAATTCGCTCTCTTGTGGATTTGCAATACGGGATTTTCAAAGACATTCGCCGTCGACCAACGAAAGAACGCTTCGCACGATTGAACAAGGCTTTTTCACTCAAGGTTCTCAGATCGCCGGCGTGATCTGGGATTTGTTTTTCAACGGGATTTTTCAAAAAAAGAACGGCGTTCTACTTAGACGGACAGTTTGCGGGGATTCACTTGCCCATTTTTCCCTCTTCAGCGCAGGCTACCCTTGGCAAGGGCGACATTACTGGAATGCGCGCCATGATCCTGGTGTCTTGAATCTTCATGTCACATCTCATTCCCGCCATCGAGATGGGGGAGACATCGGGCCAATGTACAATGAACGGGGCGCGCCGATTTACATAATCATCTCCAAGGGATATACTACGCTGGGGACCAGAAAACAAAAAAGGATGGGATTTATTTTTTTTTCGGCTTCAAAACGGGATTTTAGGTTTTGTTTTGTTTTGCATATAGACTTGGCTTCAGGACTCTTGTCCAGATTTTGGGAAGATTTCATTCAGTTTTCGTTCTTGGTACGGCCCTTCGCGGGGAGCGTACCAATACAGGCACAAGCAAAGTGCGTCGGCCAACGGTTCTTGTTGGGCGGTAACGCCTTGAGCTTTTTTTCTTTTCTTTTTCAATGTACAATGAGTTTGGGGGCAAAGAAAATCTTTGAGGGGCTTGGCCGTGTTGGCTACACATGGTCTGAGCTGAAGATGCTACGGAGGATACCCCTTTTACAACTCGCTAGATAGAAATATTATAGAATAGACTTGCTTCACAGCAAACATTGTCATAACTTTTGAAATCACTCTCCGTCTCTGTCTCTTAGCTTTTTTTCTTTTTTTTTCTTTTTGGTCTAGATCAAAACCTTGTCGGTTGCTCATCCTAACACTTTTCCTTGCTTTTTTTTACCCCTACATCTACACACTACTTGCCGTGTTTCTGTGTTAGCCTGGATCAGGGCCTCGGGTCGAGTGATAGTGAGGGAGGCAAGAAAAGGCGAGGATCGCGACGGCAAGGGAAATTCAAGGCGAGAGACAGGCCACAAAAACACAAAACAAAATAATACTAATAATGGGCGGCTAACTGCCACAAAATGTGATACACACTAAACGGCAGGGGGGGGACCCGCGCGGCTGGGCTGCCTCTTTTCTTTGGCCGTGTCTTGTTTTTCGCCTTTTTTCCTTTCTTTTTCGAGAGGCTATTGGAGAGCTATGAGATGAATACGAATGCAGGGAAACGACGGGCTCGTTGGCGACGTGTGTTATTGGTTGGTCCTCTGCGTTAACTTTTTCATCTGGTTGGATGCTGCCTATCTACTAGTAGTTTTCTCATTTCTTTTCCTTTCTTTTTTTTTTTTTTTCCCGCCCTCAAAGTAAAATTTTCTCTACCTATGACTTTGCTTTTTCACTTGGAGAAAACCAACAAAATAAGGCAGACTAACGCTCCGGGATCTGGGGAAGCAAGGCTGCAGGACCACTTAGCGATGGAGATGGAGGAGCTAAAGCAGGAGAAATGCACGATGCGAGATGGGTGTGGTGTGGGGCGCATATGTAGGTCTGATCTGGTGCATGCAGGAGTTGATCAGTTGTTGTTTGAAGTTCCTTGTTGAGGCGATTGCGGACGCTGTGGGCATATGCTGGCCGGTATTGATGCGTCATGGACGGAGGATTATCGTCACGCTTATTGTTGGCTGTTGGTGAGAATATGGGCGTTTTGACGTTGCTCAGGTTTGCGGCCAAAGCTGTAATTTACCGGCACTTTGGACTATGAGCGTTGAATACGAAGTATACCTTAGTAGGCAACAGCAGAATCAAGAAAATGAATAGGTTCCATGACTTTTACTTTCAATGGGTAAATGCACGGGACAATGATTCAAGACCAAATTGGGAAAAGAAAAGAGGCAGTGTCCAGTGTTAGAGTTGGTCAGTAGTACATCCAAGTACCGCTGCGTATACAGTTCATCCAAAGTTTCATCGACTTTCTGCCTTATACTACCGCATCGGTACACCACAACGATGTTCCTCCAGCGCCATTGGACAATTGGACAGGGCAGGCAGGCGGCCAAAAGACGGAAGGTGAGACATGATGGCTCAAATTATGACAGAACTCTGTTTCTACCATTTTCTCTTCTCTTCCAGGTTTTCTTTTCTTTTTTTCCCCTCCTTCTCTCCACGTCCACCTCGCCAGACGGCTCGGATTCCAGGACCGCATAGCCGCTTCACGCCACTGGCTCGGCAATCCTTGTCGCACAATCGAGAAAAAAAGAGGCGAGACGGTTTGATCCAGCCCGGGCGTATCAGATGCCTTCGCTTATGCACCTACCTCGCCTACGGTTGAGAAGAAATAAAAAAACGGTCGCGGGCGGCCTCTAATCCTCTTTCTGCCTCTGCATCGCATGATTCACTTACATCCTGGCAGGTATTTAGAACTTGTCTTTCTAATTGTGTGTTGGGTGTGCCAAGTAGGAGTACGCGCATGACGACGTTTGTGTTGGCTACATACGCCCATGTCGGCCCTCAACGGAAACAGTGCGTCCGTCTACGCTTCTGGTTGGGTACTTGTAGATACGTGACGGAGACTTCAGGCCGAGATTCTGTGACTCAGGGCTCCGACATATGCCGTGTTACACGGGGCGCGGGACAGTGCCGAGCACAACACATCTACAACGTTGCCATGGCCAACTGCTGCTTCTACTACAAGTATACAAGTACTCCTCCAAACAGCCCTGGGTACGGTACTCGCCTAGTCATGCTCCCCAGCAGCTTCATACGCCAGTAAGCTCGGGATAAACATCACTAGCACGTTGGTTGTCAGCCTAATACAGGTACTCGTAATCAACCAAGTCCCAAGGGGGCAACTCACGTTCGTCGTTGGAGCGGCATCTCCCTCCGGACCCTCTCTAGCTCATCAAGGTCAATGTCTACAAAGCCAACCTCCTCTACGGCCCCATCTTCCGCGTTGCCCTCTGCGTCTGCTACACCCTTGAGGCAGAGCAATACTTTGCCCCATGGGTCGACAACCATGCTGCGACCGTAGCTAGCCCGCTTCTCGTTGTGCCGGCCTACCTGAGCCGCCGCCACAATGTAACTCTGCGTCTCAATGGCACGAGCGCGGAGCAAAGTCTCCCAGTGCGCCTCTCCCGTTCGCAACGTGAATGCACTGGGATAGGTGATGATCTGAGCCGGACGGGTGGCCCAGGGGCTGCTACGACCCGGCTGGGCCAGGGCGAGGGCTGTCTCTGGGAATCGCAAGTCGAAGCAGATTAGGCTGCCTATCCTACCGACGGGGGAATCAAACGGCGGCGTGAACCTTGTGCCCGGCTGGACGGTTGCGCTCTCCCGGAGGGTCCCGTAATCAAAGACATGCAGCTTGTCGTACGTGGCCGCATCTTCAATGATACCGTCAGCGTTGATATACAAGGCCCGGTTCAGAATCTTGTCAACTGGCTGGCCGGCTTCCTGGCCCACTACGGTGTCGTGGATGCCGACATGGACGGCAATGGAGTGGGCCTTGGCAGCGGCGCGGAGGCCTTGGACAAACGGAGACGATGTCTGTGGGACAGCTAGGTCAAGTGAAGCCCGGGCATTGACGGCAATGTAATCAGATGCTTCTGGGAGAAAGAGAACCTGATGGCATTTGATCGTCAGTCTTCCGCTCACACGAAATGACAAATCCTAAGGATGGTGCAAGGCAGCGGGCGTGTCAAGGGGATGGGCAGCCGAATAAAGAGCCTGTCTGCGAGGGAATGAATATGATACGATACCGGAAGTTTATCTATCAACCTCTGAGACACGGCTCAGGCCAGCAGCAATTTCCCAGGGCTGAAGGGTCCTTTGACTTTGTGGTGAAGACATGTTGAGACAGCTGTGCGCACTTGGGACGACAAGCTCCATAAGAGTATGCATTCCTCGCTTCCACAAGACATGCCCATTATAGGCCATCTCGCGATCGCAGACAGAGTCTCACAAGAGTCTCACGGCAGGAGATGAAATTTGCTGTAAACAAAGGGAGTGTGTACTGTAGGGAGAGAGAGGGCATACTTGAGCTCCACCAAGTGCCGCCTTGGCAACCAGTCTCACACACTGGTTGAGATTTGCAGTGATTGAGCCAGTGGCGCAAATCTGGCCGACTGCCTGAGTGAAAAAGAAGAGTGTTAGCAGCGATGGCAGAAGAAGGTGGTGTTTTGGGTATAAGACGCAACTGCGATGGCCATGACTGATTGATGGCTGTACCAGACGAGGACTGGACGAGATACAAGCAAGAATGTGCTACCGTACTTGCATATACAGGAGGCGTAACTTGCTTGCTGATTGACTGGCAATTCAATGCAATGCTGGAACTATTTGAAAGCGTTGGAGGTAGGTATTTGCTCATGCAGACAAGGTGATGCTCATGAGCGGCGCAGATGCGAAACCTCATTGGCGCAATCGTGTCGTTTCATTGCATAATCGAGGCTTTTGTAACCGCTAACAAGAATCCAGTTGACTTGGCCCTGCGACAACAACGAGCGTTTCATTTTAAGGGGAAATGGAAAACACAATGCTTATGCATTACTTGGCCAATTCTGCTGGCGTTTCCTATGATTTCTTCTTCCTCATATTCCGGCAATTGAATCCCCCCGATCGGTGCATGCAGATTATTGCATCCCAGGTTATGTCATGAGGTAGGATTCGCTCCGCCACTAAATTGATACGAGGGCTGATAGTGAGATGGCAAAAGCTTACTTGCTTACTTACTAGGGGTGTACACTTCAAGCCTCTCCGCTTGCATCAGCGTTGTGCAACCCAAGTGCGGAGCATCAGGCAGGACGCGCAACTTTGCTGGTGATTCATCGGGTTCATGACGGCCATGTGAGAGCTGTTGGAAGACTCTCTCTTGCCATTGTGATTGCGATTGTTCTTGTTCTTGTTGTGGTTGCGCTTTGGCTTCTCTTCTTAGACGCCCGTCTCTCCACCCCACGTCATACAGAACCGCCATCTCGACGAGAATCTGACAGGCTGTCATGATGTTCTCTCTCCAGCGCTTGTTGCTTCATCTCCTCTTCCTTCTGGCCACTGTCTCAGCCACGCCATCGCAATACTGCCTCTTTGGCCTTCCGCGCGATGACATCGACTTTTGCATGGCCGTGTCGCTCTATCACAACCACTCGACATCAGCTCACGATGTCTACCTTTCAATGGCGGTGAGACGATCGACAACATCCAATGGCACCTCTCTTGGATGGACCGCCATCGGCACTGGCCACAAGATGGCCGGATCTCTCATGTTCGTGCTCTATGGCGACCCCGAGGCGTCCGAAACCAAGCCGACGTTGAGCGTGCGGACCGTCAAGGATGGCCACTCAAGCCCAGCGCAGGTTACCCAGCAAGACACTGGAAAGCAGCTGGACCTTCGTATCTCGGAGACAAGCTGGAAAAAAGCAAAGGACGACGTGTACGTGGCCACTGCGTCTGTCGTCTGCTACGCCTGCTCGGAGTGGATGGGGGCGGAAATTTCGCCAGAGTCCGTCTCGCAGCCGTGGATCTGGGCGTGGAACAAGAAGCAGGACATGAAGACGTTTTCGCCCGACGAGCAGCTTGCGATACACTCTGTGGTGGATGGCTTCGGCTATTTCTACGTCGATATGAAGGCGGCCACCTCGCACCATGCTGATGGCTTCCCGGCCTTCAACGTAACCGGCGAGGATTCCAATATTGGCACTTCTAATCGACCCATCAAGGAGGAGAAGACGGGGCTGTGGCAGAAGCTCTTGTCTCGGCCGCTCGCCCACCTTCACGGCTTCTTCATGATGACCGCTTTTCTGTTGCTGTTCCCTGTCGGCGCCGTGGCAATCCGCTCCGGGTCTGAAAAGTCATTCAAATACCACTGGGTCATCCAGGCCACGGCCATAGTGTCTGCCCTCTCTGGTGCATTTGTGGCCGTTGCCATGAGCGACAAGGTGTTTGGCTCCCCTCACCAAATCGCCGGTTTCGTCATTATCTCGCTCCTGCTGGTGCAGGCAGTGCTCGGCTGGCGCCACCACGTCGACTTCATACGCATCTTCCGCCGCACCTGGATCTCCTACGCGCACATCTCTCTCGGCTTCGTGGTGCTGGCGAGCGGCTGGGCCAACGTCATCACCGGCCTGGTGCTATACGGCTTCAGCAAGTTCGGCATCGTCATGGTTGCCCTCCTCATCCTGCTGGAGGCTGTCGGCGTGGGCGCCTGGTCGTATCTGGCGAGACGCCGCTCATTGACAAAGGGCGCACTCCATAAGGAGACGCCGGAGTCTTCGGCGGCGTATTTCGCCCTGGAAGATATCCCTGAGAGTGACGAAGAGGATGACGCGGCGGAGGAAAGGGGGCTCATGCAGAAACGGAATGATTAAATGAGTAAAATGTTATATATATAAAAAAAGGAATATGAGGGTTTTGATAGTAAACATGGAGTCAGGGTGATATTTTATTTAGTTGAATGTATTAAACATGTACAAGCCATGAGAATCCAAGCGTCGTCTCGTTTCCTTTCAGGCCATCTTGACATTCACACATGAGAACTTACTGTAAAGCCATATTTTTGAGCTCCTCGGTCATATATATCTGCACAACATTCATTTCATATCTCACGTTCAACCAACTCCTGCTGGCCCTACTACCTCTCATCTCATCTCAATCTCATTCACACATGCCAGCACATAGAAACGCAAAGCGGAACTTCTTTCATACCCCGTCTATTTTCCCAACGCTGTCACTATCAACTAAGCTGGTGGGCATTCCGCCATCTCAATTTTTTTTCGTTCCCGTATAGTTCCCTTCTCGGAGAGAACCCCTGATGTAACAAAACCCTCTTGATGTAGAAAAAAAAAAAAAAACCTGCCCTTTAAAGCTCGTGAAAAAGACATGAAAAAGGATTTAGAAAACAAAGCTAATAAAGAGGATAGCTCATCAGCTGTTTCATGGAAAAAAGCTCTGTAGAATAAAGAAAAGCTGAGCTCAGCTTCCCTAATCCTCCAGCGAGTTGTTGCATGGCAAATCGAAATCGAATACGAAAACTGATTTACCAGTGTTGCTTCAAATAAAAAGATGGGAGAGAAGACAGAAAGAAAAAAGAGCACCCAAAAATCTGGGACACGCGCTTTTATCTCGTATATTTCTCTCCCTAGACCTCCCCACCTGTAGGATTTTCCCTCCTCTCTTTGTGCCTGGAAAATGAAACGCCCTGCTGAACCAAAAACCTTGCTCAGGAAAAACAGAAATTATGAGAGAGAAGAGAGGAAGGAAAAAAAAAAAAAAAGAAGAGGCAGAAAGAATCTGCATATAGCGCAGGGTATCTCAACTATGACTGAGCCCGCCCATTGATCTGATTTCCCATCCCCCAAAGGTCCCCGCCATTGATCATTAATTATTTAGGGTTCGAATTGTCCAAATTTATATAAGCGTGTTGCAACGCCCTGGCCTCTCGGCCATCTCTCTCCAGTACGGTGATCCAGTCACGAAGCTGAATGTTCTTCCCCTTTTCTTTGTCTTCCCGCCACGTGCCCAGCCTGTTTCGTCCTTCGGTTGTCAACGCCATGTTGCCAGGGGATGGAGCTCCGGGAACGCCATTCGGGCCTTTGCCTGGTCCTGGGGCGGCCCGTGTCGGGGTACTAGCACCGCTTCCTCCTCGGCCAACATTCATCCAGTCATACGTCTTGCCCGACTTCTTCTTGCCAAAGAGGCTTCCCTTGCCTCCCAAGCCCGCAAACATGCTACTGGTGATGTTCTGGTTCGCATGGCTGCTGGCTTCGGCCGCCTTCATGGCCTGTGTCTTCTTCAACTCCTTCTTCGTCATTGCCTTTTCCGACTCTGGAGCTACCGATCCAGGTGTGCCGGGTGCGACGCTCCCTGCCCGTGAGGCTGAAACAGCCGAGTCACCCAACCCTTCTTTGCGCATCTGGCGCCTCCGCAACCGAGCCTCTTCCCACTCGCGCTCTTGTCTGGCCAAATCCCTCATTGTCAATGTTGCGTAAGAGGCAATTTTAGGCAGCTTGGCCGGTGGTTGTTTGACGGCCGCGTCATTTGCGTCGGCAGGACCTATGAGGTGTGAGCGCATAATTCAAGCATGGCAAACATTTAAAGCAACATCAAGCTTACGCTTCAACGGACTGGTACCCTGCCCAGCTTCAGTACCAGTACCAGTTCCAGCTACAGCTCCATTCGCATCGCCGTCCTTTTCCACCATGGGCTCCAATGGCTCCGCATTCACTGGAGCGGCTGCAGCTGCCCACTCTGAAGGTATATCTCCATGAGATGTCTTTTGCCGTGTTCTTGCCACCACATTTGCGTCCTCGACTAACTCACGTACTCTCTGCTTTGTTGCGATCGACAACAGCGCAAGTTGATCGACTAGAAAAGCGTCATGCGGAATAAAAGACCCGCTGGTTTCTACCAAGGCGCCATCTGGGCCTGTGCTCGTCTTGACTGTGACTTTTGGCGTCGCAAAGTTATCAGGCAACTTCATCTTTCCCATAGACGGGACGTTGTTCTTGAGTTCTAGGTTAAGTCCGAGATGATGTTCGCGAGCAATTTTCTCCGCTCGGCGATGCAGCAATGCTACAAGAAGAAATGGATCGTTGATCTCCTGAGTCCTCTGCACAGCAAGTCGCATTGTTGACTCCTGCCATGCCTGCTCGGCCGCCTGAGCGGTATACTGCTTCTGTGTCAGGTCGGTAGGCTGAGCAGGCTGGTTTGCGGGGCCAGCACCGTAGAATGTGGACTTGGAACCTGGCGTATAGTGGGCGAATCCTGTTCTGGCCTCGGGTATTGACTCGAGAGCATTTGAATAGAGCTCTGCCATGTACTGCTCTTCTGCGCGGAGATCGATGCCCGTGCCGGCCAATGAATCCGTCACATCGTACTCGTAGTCTTTCGTCGGTCTCTCTGCTGGCTTCTGGGGAGGGCCCATGATTCCGGGAGTCTGTAGTAGTGGAGCTGCTGCTTGCTGCATTTGTTGCATTTGTTGCATTTGTTGCATTGGCTGCATTGGCTGCATCGGCTGCATCGTTGCATTTGTATACTGTTGAGGCATTGGTATCGGGGACGGCAAAGGCACTGGTGTCTGCACATGTCCTGGTGTTTGTACATGCCCTGGCGTCTGAACTTGTCCTGGCGTTGGCACCTGCATTGGTGTTGGCCCTGGCATTTGGATTTGCATCGGTATCGGTGCTTGCACTGGCGGGGGTTGAGGAGTGTGCATGGCGGGCGAGGAGACTGTTGGCGAGGCGGTCGGAAGACTCAGTCCTTGAGCAGGCGGAGGATGGCCGTTTGTGTACGGCATAGCATATCCGGCCTGTACAGGTGGTGTTTGTGCTTGCGGATACGTTGGCGATCCAGCTGTAGTGGGGGGAGTGGCCACAGGGACTGGGCTCATTGTGTAAGGCGAGGCAGCATAGGGCGATCCAGGCTGTGATCCAGGCCCGTCGGTTCGAACTCGTTTGTTGGGGGGCAGCGCAAAGCCCGAGTGTGATGTCGCGGGAGATGGGCTTGGCTGCGGAGGCGAAAATGCCCGCGGCGGAACCTGGGGCGAGGGCTGTGGTTGCGCCATGGTGGCTAGGATCTCGGCAATGGAATCAAGCTAATGGCCCGGTAGCAGCAGATTCGCACAAGCTGGACGGCGAGCAAACGAAAGCCGGGGCGAGTGATTGCGGCAATCGACGCTCTCAACAGGCAGCGAAGCCTGTCACGGTTGCCGTACCTCGTCCCATCCGACGCGCAAAGCTGGCACGAGTCTGGCGAGCGGTGTGAGATTCTGCCTGCGTGCGGGAGCGGCACCTGGAGATTCGATATCGGGCGTCTCGGAGATGGAAATGCGCTTCGTGGCGTCGTCGAGCAATGAGCCGTTCTCGAGGCGATTTGTATGAAGTTGGAGCTTCGTAGCAAAGGTTGGGGGTCGCGTAAATTTAAAGTCACGTGCACCGGCACTTGCCAGAACTACGCGTCACTACCCGAGTTTTAGCCGCTGCTATTGTTACTATTGCTGCAGCTAATTGATGCGGCATGAATATCAGCCAGACTTCACATCACCTTCAGTATTTGTTGTTTGGAGGCTCTGGCTATTGTTGCGCCCTCTGCGCAGCGGTTTTTGGGCCATTGACGGTGGTTCAATACTCAATTTTCTCTTTGTGCTGACATTTAGGAACCCGGCGGCTTGGTGATGCTAATGTGAAGTATTCCTTGTCCTTCCTCCAGGCAGGCATTCTGATCAAACGCGACCATGGCATCCAAGCGGAAGGCGTCCGCGATGAATGCGACCGCGGCAGACGAGCCAGTGGATCCATCGGACGAGCTCATGTTTCTCTGTCTCGGTGGTGGCAACGAAGTTGGACGGTCGTGTCATATTATCCAATACAAGGGCAAGACGGTTATGGTGAGGAAAATCTGATCAATGCTGTCGCGGGCTTGGCTAATAGTTTTGTGCTCTCTGTAGCTTGATGCTGGCCAACATCCTGCCTACGATGGCCTCGCCGCTCTTCCGTTTTACGACGACTTTGATCTCAGCACCGTCGACGTGCTCCTCATCAGCCAGTAAGCGATATCCCGTGCACACTCCCTCTCCCTCTTCACCAGTCGAAGCAAAGTCCAGGCGGCTATAGGTATAGGCGAAGGGCGAGTTGGTGCTTGTTGCGAAGGAAAGGGCATTGTTCCATCTACACAGTGATGCCGTGTCTCTTCATTGTCTCTATGTCTCTTTGTCTCTCTATCCACTTTATATGCCAGTTATGAATACAATACGTTCTCCGCCTGTTCACGCTTTGCCCCGAGATCATATCTTTTGCTGCCTCGTGATATATCGACCCATACAGCCCACTACTACTCTCGACAGAACCCTCCACGATGCCTCGAGTCTGTTGCTAACCCGTGGGGATAGTTTCCACATTGATCATGCGGCGTCTTTGCCATATGTCCTAGCCAAGACCAATTTTCGCGGTCGCGTCTTTATGACACACCCGACCAAGGCCATTTACAAGTGGCTGATCCAAGACAGCGTTCGAGTTGGAAACACGGCGTCAAATTCGGCAACTCAGCTCTATACGGAACAGGATCACCTCAACACGTTTCCGCAGATTGAAGCGATTGACTACCACACTACGCACACCATCTCGTCCATCCGCATCACACCTTATCCTGCCGGCCATGTGCTTGGAGCAGCCATGTTCCTTATCGAGATTGCCGGTCTCAACATCTTCTTCACTGGCGATTACTCGCGCGAGCAGGATCGCCATCTTGTCTCAGCAGAGGTCCCCAAGGGCCTTAAGATTGACGTTCTCATCACTGAATCAACATACGGCATTGCATCCCACGTGCCGCGACTTGAGCGAGAGCAAGCCCTCATGAAGTCCATCACGGGAATTCTCAATAGAGGTGGTCGGGCGCTGCTGCCGGTGTTTGCCCTTGGACGAGCTCAAGAGCTTCTCCTTATCCTGGACGAGTACTGGGGCAAGCATCCAGAGTTCCAGAGGTTTCCTATCTACTACGCGAGTAACCTTGCCCGAAAATGTATGGTTATCTACCAGACATATGTCGGTGCCATGAATGATAATATCAAGCGACTGTTTCGAGAGCGTATGGCCGAAGCCGAAGCCAGTGGCGATGCAGCGGGCAAAAACGGTCCTTGGGACTTCAAGTACATCCGCTCTCTTAAGAATCTTGATCGTTTTGACGATGTCGGGGGCTGCGTCATGCTTGCCAGTCCAGGTATGCTTCAGAACGGAGTGAGCAGAGAGCTCTTTGAACGCTGGGCGCCCAGCGAAAAGAACGGCGTCATCATCACTGGTTACAGTGTCGAAGGCACCATGGCCCGGCAGATCATGCAGGAGCCCGATCAGATCCAGGCCGTCATGTCTCGCAGCATCGCAGGCGCTCGTCGAGGCCCGGGAGCGGATTCGGAAAAAGTGCTTATCCCCCGGCGATGCAGCGTCCAGGAGTACTCCTTCGCTGCCCATGTCGATGGTGTCGAGAACAGAGAGTTTATCGAGGAGGTTGCGGCGCCTGTTGTTGTACGTTGCTCTCCTTTTATTCCTATCCTCTCCGTTCTCTATTGTCAAAAAGAAGTGAATATTCGATTGGCTTACTAACTATTGTACAATATAGATTCTGGTCCACGGTGAGCAGCACAACATGATGCGTCTCAAATCCAAACTGCTCTCCCTCAATGCCAGCAAAACCACAAAGGTCAAAGTCTACTCGCCTCGCAACTGTGAAGAGCTGCGCATCCCATTCAAGGCCGACAAGACAGCTAAAGTCGTTGGCAAACTTGCCTCCATTCCTCCTCCGAAGGACATTGACGCCTCCGCACCCCTCGTCACCGGAGTGCTTGTACAGAACGACTTCAAGCTCTCCCTCATGGCCCCCGAGGACTTGCGTGAGTACGCTGGCCTCAATACCACGACTATTACGTGCAAGCAGCGTCTGACTCTGAGCGCCGCCGGCGTGGATCTCGTCCGCTGGGCTCTGGAGGGTACGTTTGGAGCCGTGGAAGAGCTTCCTGAAATGCGACGCATCAAAGACGGCAAGCTGGACGGCGACGACGAGAAGATGGCTGAGGACGCTGACGAAGAGGTGGCCAACCTGGTAGCGGCCTACCTGGTCATGGGCTGCGTCTCGGTGCGATATCGCACCAACGGCGAGGTCGAGCTGGAGTGGGAGGGCAACATGCTCAACGACGGCATCGCCGACTCCGTCATGGCGGTGCTGTTTTCCGTCGAGAGCTCGCCGGCCGCGGTCAAGCGCTCTTCCAACGGCAAGCATTCTCACTCTCACTCTCACGCCGAGTCTGATGACAAGTTCTATGCTGCTCAGCCAGACAGCAAGAACCCACACGCTCACGTCTCCCCCGCCGATCGTCTCGAGCGTCTCATGTGGTTCCTGGAAGCCCAGTTCGGCGCTGACAATGTCGCTCCCGTCGAAGACCCCAAACTGCCACCCCTGCCAGCCTCGCCCAAGGAGGAGAAGAAAGAGGAAGACGACGACAACAACGACGAAGAGGCACTTAAAGAGGAAAAAGCCAATGGGGATGAAAGCGAGGCCAAGCCAGACGTCAAGTCCGAAGCCATGGACGTCGATGAGGACGCCGCCAAGCAGCAGCTGCAAGAGCGCCAGCACAAGGAAATCACGCGCCTCCACAAGATTGGCATTCCTGTCCCGGGGATATCGATCAAAGTGGACAAGATGACGGCGACCATCTGGCTGGAAGATCTCGAGGTGGAATGCAACAACAAGGTGTTTGCGGACAGAGTACGCGCCGTGGTTGAGCGAGCAGTGGAAGTCACCGCTCCGCTATGGGGATAAAGCGAGGAGAAAAAGGAATTTATCATGGGAGATGCGAGGAGAGAATGTCTGGGGTTTTTGATATGATGGCATTTTTACTACGAGAGACATATCAGATATGGACTTGTAATTTGTCGATATAGCTCCTGCTAGCGGCGGGAATAGTAGAGGTGGTTACATACTTACTTAGATAGATACCAGCGTCAAAATGAAACATGCAATTGTAAACATCAAGGCAACAAACAATCACGTAAATTTTATAACAATGATGAGTAGATCAGCATATCATTATTTCCTTCTACTTTCCCTTTACATAGAGTCTGCGTACAAGTATAAAAGATGCAAGATATAATCATACAAAGGGGCTACTAGCTCACTAGGTCTACTACATGGAGAGGGGGAAAAAACAGAAACGGTGGGGAAAAAAAGAAAGGGAAACAAAAGAGAAAATTAATTCCACAGATAACACCGCTTCCCTTTGGCGCACATGTCCTGTTATTCCAGGTAATTCTTCAGCTCTTCCGACTCTTCTATCAGAGTGTTGAAAGAGAATGGCGCAAACGGCCAACCGTTGAACTCTGCAAACTTGGAGAAGGACTCAACCCACGCCAGTCGGAGAGAGTGCAACATGGCACTTGTGCCCTCCATGCAGACCAAAATGGCAATTGCTGACGAACTGTTAGAGCTCCGGTTGGATCAAAAGAGATGGATATTGTTAGAACTTACTAAGGAAGAACCACAAGTAGAAGCCGATGACAATCATGATAACGCCAAGCACGCCTCCAGTCGCGAGGCAGGGACCGATGGTCATGTCCCAAAGCACAACGCTAAGCTGTTGGTGGGCAAGTGACAAGGCCCAGAGACGCAGGTAGGACGCGGTGTGAGAAACGCAGTTCAAGCAGAATTCTACGCAAGAGAAATAATTGTTAGTATATCCATGTACTGAAGCGGGACGTCTATCTAGCAGACTGGAGTCAACCTACCAATAGTGTGAATGATTTGATGAATCATGACTTCGCTAAACTCAAACTCCTCATGCTCATCATCAATGTTCTGGGAAATCATGGCAACGCCCTCGCCCTCGTCAAAGCTATTGCCGTGTCCGTTGACCAGGGCCTCGCTCTCGTCATCGCCGTCCAAGGCACTAACTCGAGAAGTCTCGCCAATGCCTCGGTAGCCCCTGGCACGGGTCTTGCTGTTCTCCCAGCGGAGATAGAAGGGCTTGAGGAAGAGCAGGATGGGCACTTGGACAAAAGCCAGTAAAAGCAGAATTGTCTGGACATACTCTTGTCCAGCATACAAGCGCTCATCCAACTTTCCGGGCTGCAGGAACATGTAGATGAGCATGTTCAGCAGGCCGGGAGGGGCCTTGCCGACAGCATTCCAGTCAACTGACCACTTGTAAATAATGCAAACGACAAGGTAGCCAAAGATGGACTGGAAAAAGATCATGCCGGGAATGAAGTTGCCCCAGATATCAATGGGCTTCTTGAAGTGCCTGGCATTGATGTACGAGAAGCAGAGCGAGTACGTCATGTGAGCCCAACCGAGAATGATACTCATCTTCATCTTGTAACTGTTGGTGAAGAGGAGGTTGTTTTCGGTGCCGTGCCAGGCCCAGTCGAGGCCGAACGGGTAGCGATAGCCCTTGTCGTTCAAGACAGCAGTGACGGGCATTCCTTCGGTCCAGTGTTCGGGGTGCTCATACTCCCATGCACTTCCCCAGAGAGTCATGGACTTGGAGAAGATGTCGTTGTACATGAGACCGGTGAAGACAGAGAAAACAGCCATGACCAGGGCAATGTATCGGCCATAGAAGATCATGGCAAACAGTTCAAAGGACACCTTCTTCAGCGATTTCTCCCAGTAGATCATGGCCAAGGCGGCAGAGAGCATGATGATGGCGTGGCCCAAATCACCAAACATGACGGCAAACAGGAACGGGAAGGTGACAATGACGGGCAGAGCAGGGTTCACTTCTTGGTATGTGGCTGTGCCGTATGCGTTGACAATGGTCTGGAAGCCCTCGGTGAACTTGTTGGTCTTGAGGTATGTCGGGGGCTTCTTGTTGGTGATAATCTCATTGACGATGGAGGGAACGGACAAGCCAGCTCGGTTCGTGACATCTTGGAGTGTAGAACGGATAAGAGGCATGTCATTGGTGGGGCACCACGCCTCGGCGATGAGCGTTCGGCGAGCCGAATCATACGACAGTAGGTTGAGCGTGCTGTAGACAGCCTTCTCCTTGGCGATGAGCACCGTCCAGGGAGACAGCGATTGGGAGATTTGGTTGAGCTCAGCCTCGAGAGTGGCTTGGGTGTTGCGCAAGACGTTCTGCACATCCTCCAGGCGGTTGTTGACCTCGTGAATTTGGTCGCGGCGAAGATCGCTGTTCTCGTCAACGTTGTAGACATTGGCGCCCATGGACTCGGAGATCTTGCGAATCTTGCTGAGAATTTCCTTGCCGTGAGCGAAGATGACAAAGACATTCTTCTGGATGGACTCGTTGTTGGTTGGGTCGATCAAAGGCTCCGGGATCTCCGACTGGTTCATGTACAGGTTTCCTCGGAGGGTTCTCCAGAGGATACGCTCGAAAGCGGCGACACGGTCCCTATTGATGACACCGGCAACAAAGCCAATGTTCATGCCGGAGAATGATCGCTCAACATCCGGCGCGGTGTTGTGCTGCTCTATGTCGGACAGGAGCGGCGCATCGTCGTTGTCGGTCGACGCGCGGATCTCCTCAACGTTGCCGTGGGCACGGTCGAAAAAGCTACCGGCCTCCCGGAGAACCCAGCGCCACTCGGAGAGATCACCCTCGCGCTTCTTCAGGGTCTCATAGCTGTCGTTGAGGGCGGAAATACGCTGCTCAAGCTTCTGAGCCCGCTCAGCAAGCTCGTCAATCTCCGACGTCGATGGAGACGCAAGCTTCTCGGCGTCAAGATCCAGCTTCCGAAGAGGAATGCCCGCCTTCTCCATCTGAGCGTAAAAGTAACCTAGACACTGGGCGTTAGTCGAAACCGCGTCGGGGCTGATGGGCGGATAGATGGAGCGATGTGTCTCGCCGGTGACGTACGTAACTGTCGCTCGACATTATCAAGTCGTCGAATCTCCTGAGTAAAGGTTCGCTGGAAGGCGCTGACATCCTCATTGAGCTAATTCACGGAGAAAATCGGTTAGCAACCTCGACTCTCATCCATCATCCATCATCGTCGTCAAAGGGCAGGGCAATACATACATCGCGAAACTGGCACAGTCCAAGCTCTCCGAGCGCAGTCACAACCTCCCGACCGATTTCGTTGGAGACGTAGAGCTGCACCATGCTCATTTCCGCCGAGCGGAACGGCGTGTCCTTTCGCGGAGCCATGATGATGCGTGTTTAGTACTCCAAGACCCAACTCGAGGATTGTGTTGGGGTTGGGAGGTAGAACTTGAAAGAGAGAAGCTCCCTGGAGGAGATGGATTGAAGGTACTAAGAATACAGACGGCGCCGCGAATTGTTCCGTAGGTACGTACGTACCTGCATCCGTCACGTGAATCGCCTCAGCTACGGCGCAGCGCATCTTAGTCGGAGCCAAAACTAGAGCCGTCCGCAGCCAAGGCATCATAGTTCAACGGCACAAGTATTGCGTTGCATTGAGAATGAGCGAAATATTTTGAAATTTATGGATTATACTTTATCTTTTTATTATTATTATTTATTATTTTTTAACTCATTTTTTAGCTGCCTTCTTCAATTGTCGGGTGCCAACCGTGCCATCTTGAGCTGGCGTGCTTGCTACAGTTCCTTATTCTGGATATTTCCTAAATAGGTCACATAAGACGGCGACGCCTCTGTCACTCTGCATGGGACGTTCACCGACAGTATCATCAGTTGTGATTCATCCATTCGCTTGTCCAATTAGCAACTACATAAGACACTAAATCAGGAACGAGAAGATAAACCTTGGCAGAATGCGCCTCTAAAAGTGGATATCGCCAAACAGCCTCGTTACCCCTTCAGCCACGCGTCACCCTTTACATTCTGTTCCCATAAACGCCCAATTTTTTTTTGTATCTTTTCCCCAACTAAACAGAACGCTGAGCAAAAAGTATGCTTTTGGATATCTTCCCAGTCCCAAACACCGTCGAAAGTAAGGCTGTATGCACCCCGCTGATTGAGAAAAACTCCAGAGTAGAGAATGCAAACCAAAAACAGAAACCCGAAAATAAAGGCAAACTCCAATCAACCTTTAGAGGCGTAAACATGGATGGGAAATAAATGAGCAAAGAAAAAGAAGAAGAAGAAGAATTGCGAGTCATTAGAGACGTCGTCCAAACATAAAGGAGCCGTACATGCCGCCGACCTCGGCCACAGCGACGGGGATCTTTCTCATTCCCCAGCTGTCGGCGCCCATCTTCCACAGGCGCCCTCCGTTATCCTGAGTCGTGCCGTCCGGATTTCTCCGTACAAGCCAGTAGCGGCTACCAAACTCTTTGGCAGTCCAGCCTACCCGCTCGAGATTCTTGTTCACCTTGGCAGCCCGTTCATAGGACCGTTCGCCAATTTCAATCACATGAAGCGGCGCCGAGGCGGGAGCCAGCAGTTCGCTGGCGCTTCCGATAAGAGTATCGATGTCCGAAATATCAATGTATTTCAGGTTATGAGGCAGGGCCTTTTTGCCCTGGTAGAATAGCCCTTGGATGTCGGCCATACCCAACCCACGACCAAGAGCGAGCTCCTCTAGAGACTGCGAGAGTCTGACAAGCTCAGGTAGGTGTGACGACTCCATTCGGCTGCCCCGCAGGCTCAGCGAGCGGAGAGTGTTTGGCAACTTTGGCAAAAGTTGATCCACATCATCTTTACCCAGCAGCAAGTGGTTGCTCGCATCGGTGGCAAGGCTGAGGAATATCAATGTTTTAGCCGCGGGGTGAGATGAGATGAATTGCAGAACGGCCTCTGCAGATAGATCCTTGCATTTGGCGAGATTCAGATGAGTGAGTCTCGCAGATGTAGGAATGGAGAGAAGAGCTTGATCGGTAATGCGCGTGCCCGCAACGTCCAAATGGGTTAATCGAGGCAGCCGAGGAAGAATCTTCTCAAAGACGGAGGAGGGTAGGCTAAGACACTTGTGGAATGACAGCTTGGTGACGGAGAGGGTTTCGGGCCACTCGTCCTCCAGTACGCTGGTGAAAGAGTTCCTGAAGGAGACAGAAGAGCAGCCACAAAAGTCTAACGCGCGGAGCTGAGGGGAATTGAAAAAGAGCTGGCGGAGCACATCGGCGCTAAGATCGTCGTCGATGTATTCCTGAACCAGGAATTCTTGAAGGTAGGGCGTCAGCTTAAGGCACTGGACAAGCGTCTCTGATGTCAGATTCCGAGCCTGTGCCCTCTCGCTGGCAGTGGTGAAGAACATGGAGGGGTTGAAGTGACTAAAGTCAAGGCGCCGCACAATCGTCGCCAGGGACGGGTATGTCATAATGGTGGAAAGAAACTTGCGGAAGATTCGTGAGTGGGGAATAGTAATGTGTCGGTAGAGAGTGGTAAGGGTAGCAGCGTGAAGAGATCGGGAGGTGAGCAAAAGGGACATGAGGTCCGCATTGCGAGTTGTCAATCCATTGGGAGGAAGCTCAATGAATAGGAGATCGATGATGGCACCTGCGATGGAGGAGATGGTTAGCACTCAAGCCCCGTAATTCGTTTCCTTCTCGTGATGCACTCCACAATTCAAAGAATTGAAAAAGTAGGAGAAAATTTTAAAAAATGTTGGGGCAAAAAAATACCTAGCACTTCGCTTGGTAGCCGTTCGAGAGGCGATGCAGTCGTGGGATAGGCTTCGTGGGGCTTCTCGACAACAGCAGGAGCGGGAGTCTCCCAAGTCATATGCAGCTTGTGCAGATCCTCGCAGCTGCGGCTGGCGGTCCGTCCCTTGAGAGGAATCTCCCTCCACCCTCTGAAGCCGTCGGCAGGATACCAGAAGCCATGAAGCTTGCTGTTTGGCTGCGTCAAGGGCGCCTGGAAGGTCGACTGAGGCAGCTCGGCCACTGGTGATTCGTCAAAGACATCCTCGGGCACCTCCGTGTACGACGAGATCTTGGATCGGGTGAAGGTCTGGGCAAATCCATCGTCGTTTTCTCGCACCGACGAGAAGGAGGATCGCGAAGCTGTCTCGGACGGCGGAGAGATCGCGCGAGCCATACTCGAGCCCTTGAAGGGGTTTCCAGCGTGTTCGAGCACCGAAGGTCGTCGGCACTCAAAGCCGCGGGGGGTGGCCATGTGGTTATATATTATTTTTGGGACAAACAAAGGGTATATGTCGTGTTAGCCCGGTCGAGCAAAAGCTTAGTCTGGTTGTGGCGCCGAAGCTAGTGGGAAGTTTGTATGTAATGACTCTTGCTTCGCGTGGTAAGTGGAGAGGGGAGGGTTTGGAGCGTTGTTTGCGAGTAAAGAAAATGGACGAGATGGAGTTTTGTTGTGCTGCGTTGGAGGTCTTGTTGCCCTCTTTTCGCCTGAGAGAATGGACAGTTGTCAACTCGTCTTCTTATCGCTTCCTTCTTCTTCCTTTCTCTTCTTCGTTCTCTTTCAAAGCAACACAGCAAACACACACGGCAGTTGAATTCGGAGTGGGAGACGGAGGTATGATGACGCGAGTCGTTGGGACACCAGCAAACGAAATGCAATGTTGCAGGACGCAGATGATTCAGACCGCTTGGGGTATTCCTTTGCACAACACAACAACACGGGGTTTCAGAAAAAACAGCGTGCAAACCTAGATAAAAGCTTTTTTTGAGGGCGAAAGAAAAGGGCCTCCCCGGTGGCGGTTTCGTGGTGGTTCTGGGGATTTTTATGTGTAAGTCGAACGTCGTCCGAGTCGGACAGGGGGGGTGTGGAACTAAGGCGAAGTTTCGCAGCACTCTCGGGACCTTTTTGGTGCTAAGGGGGCCTCGCTGTGCCGGGGGGGTGTGCAGATACACGCAGCTGCGAGGCCCAATTTGGCACCCATTTTTGGGGATCGTTTGTGTTGCGTTTGTGCCTGTGCCTGTGCTCGTCGTACTGGTACTAGTTGGTGCGACAATTGGGCGCCGGTGGACGCACACTCGTAGACTAGCACAAGTACCGGTACAAGCGCTGAGCAACTACGCAACAGCACCCCAGGATTTGCGGCATAGCGGCGCCCGGAGATGCTGCCTCTGCGCCACTGACCAGGCCTGGAGTAGGTGGCTAGCAGCGCATCTCACTACCTGACGGGGAGCGTTTGCCGCAGGCCTTTAGGGCTCTCCAGCACGTCGCTCCAGGGCTCTCGATTGGCGCTCCGGGGCGGGAACGTGCTGGCACGCGGCGCCCCCCATTAGCTCACAGCACGTCTGGATTGTGTAATGAAAACCGGTGACTGGATGTTTCTGCCCGTCAGGTGAGCAGCGCTGGGAGCAAGTGCCACTTGGCTCATGAAATCTGGCAAGCAGCGAGTCGGTCGAGTCGAGCCCCATGAGGTGAGGGGCGTGTCAATTGATGCAATTTGGGGAAAAAGTAAAAAGGGCCAGCTGTTGCAGCGTTGCGCTCGTGGAGTGCTGTACGAGTACAGATACATCAAGGGGTAGCATCACCGAATCCCTATTGGATTTTCGGCCGGAATATTCTCCAAGACTTCGGCGGCTTGCCCATTGCAGCAAAGAAGGTCCCTAGAAAGCGTAATACGGGCTGTTGTGTACCTCTTACAGGCACTGCGAGGACAGAGTTCATCAGCACTCTATTCCTCCTGGTGGCTGATGCACTCACCACCCAACGTCATTCTGGCCACAGACAAGAAAAAAAAAAAAAAAAAAAAAAAAAAGAACAGCCGCCCGGCCTTTCGCTCCGGCTCGGGAGACGCGGTGGGTGTGACTCTGGTTGGAGTGCCGTAATAGAAATTCCGGGTTTGGCAAAGCAGCCCCAAGCCTCTCTAACCTCAACCGCCCAATATCCGTACTTTTTACATAATCACTAGCCTTTCTTCCTGCTTCCAGCTTCTAGGCCCTCTAAAGCACAACTCAACGTTACTTAGCAACATGTCCTCGTGATCTCTCGGCGTTGGTGCTTTTCCTGTTCCATCCAGCCATCTCGCTTGCCCACATTGCTGGGAAAAGGCCAATGCAACCAAGCTCCTGATTGACAGGCCACCCCTTATGAACTGCCATCGATGATCGTTCTCATGCCTGCGCCTCCCAAGTCGGTAACTGGTACACGGTGTCAATGGGGCGGCCTGGCGTGTTCATCTGACGACCCGTCGATGCGACAAGCCAGCGGCGAGACAGCTCCCCCGAATCTGGGGTCCGATTTGGCCAGCCACGGGGCCACCACGCAACGACATGCTGTCTCCCGCTTGGGATTGGTCAATGGCATCGGATCGGGCACGCCGCCGTAGCTGCCGGAAAGGTAGAGCAATTCCTCATCGTGAGCTTCGTTCTGCTTCTATGTACCTCTGCTTCTGTTACTGCCGTCATGTTTGCCCACAGCCGGGCCTGCTCCGCCATCGTCATCGAGCAGGTCACGAGCCTGCTCTGCTGGCGGTCGTGATCCGAAATTCCGGTCTCAGGCCTGTCCTTTGCCAAGACGCATCAACATACCGACCTCGCTGCCAGTGGCAGAGCTTGACAGCTAATTACGCACCCGTTCTCCGTCTCATGGTGATTATTGGTAGTCGCAGCTGTCGGTCATCGGATGCGGCATCGAGGGGCTGCCGGCGTTAACAGCACCTGCAGCAGTGTAGAATGATCCCCCCGTACTTCGTACATGATGCCGTCAACGTGGCTGGAACACTGGCAGCACCAGCTGCAGGTTCTCCTTCGTAAAAGCCGCGATGCTGACAATACGGGCGAATAGAACTCGCGGCTACACATTAGTACGAGTATCATGCATGACCGCTCAAGGCTGCAGCACAACGGCCGCCGTATGAACCGAAGCCAGCCGATGCCGATGGACCCAGATCCAGAGGCTGAAATTTTACAAGGAATCCGTGCCCTTTTTTGCTATCCACACCCCTCGCCTGGCAATTGGTCTGCGAGGTCGGACACTGACTGGCCTTGCTTCCGATGCGTGAAGGGAGGGTGAGTAATAGTTGCTGCTGTGCTGTATCCAATACGAGGCTTGTCTTTTGGTGAGATGACAGTGAGATCTCGATGGGAATGTGAAACTCGGGTTGGACCAACAAACAAGACGTGGCGTTCAACTACAGACGTCATCCAGATCCCGTGCATCTCTTATCAGATTTTGCTGCCCTTTTTTCAACGCCTGCCCCCCCTTATCATGCATACAGAGTAAAACATGGCCACTCAGCAGCCCCGAAAAGGCGTGCTAAGTCATTTAACCTTGATTTTTATCTCTGCCCATTCTCTTTGTCGGAAATTTACCAAAACGGCAACTCTGCATCCTCCCTAGGCGCCTGTCTGTAGTCGCATTGTGAGACAAAATCGTGATGGCCGATACCACATCACCTTGCTCTTGACATACTGCCTACCAATCTACCAATCCCAGAACAGGCGTGCATTCCGTTCTCACCATTTCTAACACTGGTCAAGTTTGCTATGTGAGTCGAGTTGAGTGAATAGATGGGTCTAGAGCACGGGCAAAGAACCCTGCGCACACTTGATAGGTACAAAAACACTCCATGTTCTGGCGACATTGCAGCCAAGCATTGCCTAACGCATGATTCAACGCACACATACGAGTTACACGTGCCCTGCTTCAGCTTCTGCCTCCCCTTGCTTTACCGCTGGCATGCAACAGTTTCTGCCTTACCCAGGGAGTCGTGCTTCGGTAGCACAAACATCAGGCGCTCGATAGGCGATGCAGACGCCTTCTGCTGCCATCGTAAAATACAGTATGCCATCGGTGGGTTTCACCCATGCCCTGCTCTTGTATACACGCAATCATATCATGCTGCATCCCCGTAGCACCACCTACTAGGGAAGCACCTCCAAGAGACCAACCACTTGCATCTGGTTACACCAAAACCGAACAACTTTTTGTTTTGCATTACTACTGTATATCCTTTAAACGCCGAAACCAACCCAACGCTGACGAGTCGCTGGACCCACGAGTCATGACCAATCACCAGACACAAACATTGTACCTCAAGGCCAGCCCAACGGCGGCCAATCTCGTCGTAACAAAAGTGATGAGCCCGGCCACGCTCCCGCTCAGTCCTCCATATCGACATCGTCCTCCTCCTCCTCCTCCTCCTCTTCCCCATCCTCGTCCCGGAAAGTGTTCACCACCTCCTCCACACCTCCGTCCACCCGGACCTTGAGCCTCCTCTGCTCGCCACCAAACGCCTTGACAGTGTTCTTGCGCGTGGACAGCAGTTCCTCCTCGGGGGCCACCTCCACGCCCTGGGCCGCCAGCTCCGCCAGCCTCTTCTTCTCGCTTCCGCGGAGCCGGGGCAGCAGGTGCTCGTTCTCGGCGACCAGCTTGCGGGCAATGGCCAGCTCCTTCTCGCGCTTGCCGGCCATGCGCTTCTTGTAGAAGACGCGCTCGCGGCGGGCGCGGATCTCGCTGACACGCTTGATGGCGGCCATGGTCTTGTTCACCAGGTCGCGGTCGTAGCGGACGGGCTCGTTGCGGCGCTGGGCGAACTGCAGTGTGCTGTCGACCGTCATCTCCTTGCCGGCGTTTCGGCGGTAGGCCTTTGTCCACTTCAACTTGCGGGGGTTACGCTTCATCTTGTAGTTGCGGTTGCATTTTGATCTGCAGAATCTGAATGATTTGCCTGGACGAGAAGAACAAGGACGAGTCCCGGTTAGTTGTCACTGCCATTGTATGTCGTCTGGAGGGGGGCAAATTTATAAAGAGGCACTCACCATCATTCCTGACAAAGGTAATGCCCTTGGAAGGGTAGGCCGGACGGCCACAAAAGCTGCAGTCCTCAATCCTGGAGGCTGAGTTAGCAATGCAATTCCCGTAGAGGCCTGTATCCCGGAGACGTACCGCATCGTGGCTGTTTGATGTGGACTGTGAAGATGCTAAACAGGGTATCAATATCAAATCGACAACGTTTGTCCGCCTCAGCAGCAAACTCTGCCATAATTTTTTTTAGCCGCTAGTCGTATCGATAACGATATTCTCAGCCACATGCTTCCGGCGACAAGCACAAAGACACAAAGGCGCACAGCCACAGCCTCAGCCTCAGCAACTAAGCAGCCACCCCGCCCCGCCCCCACCCCAGTCAGATCTCTTTTCAGCACCGCTTCCAATATTTGATGCTATTTTCCCTTTCTCCCCCTTCTGCTCTTCTAGACCGGCTATTTCTGCCACTAGCTTAGATCCGTCAGGGCGGCTCTTGGATCTTCCCCCTCTGGAAAAAAAAAAAAAGGAGGGTGAGCAGGGGCCGCTGTTTGAATATGCTGGCTAGCGAATTAGTGACGCCTCAACGGGGCTGGCCGGGCTAGAAAAGGGACTAGAAATTTCTTCCCCAGATTTTGTTATGTAAATGAGCGGAGGAGAGGCATCACGCGGAGCGCTAACACGGTGTTTTTGTTGCAGACATACGAGTACAGCAGGAGAAGGAGACACCGTTTGCGCTTTGTGCGCAGTGAGGTCGGTCAGCTTACTTTGCTGGGCACTCGGGTGCGGCTTTTTTATTTTTATTTTTTATTTTTTTCCATCTTCTGTTTTCTTTGTTGATAGGTAGGCTCCAACTCTATGCGTGTCACAAGTCACTTGGAGATGCCCTTGGCCGTCTTACATCAAGGAAGCATGCCTCGGTTCTTGCGGGCCTCCTAACCACTGCTTCCTCGTAACTTCAAAGCAGCCTCTCTCAAGCTACCGCCATGCCACAGTGAGCGAGAGCCGCGGAATATTCATTACCTTAACGTAATTAAAGCCTCCCCCCTTCCCCTCTCGAAAATACGGGGAAGCAAGGAGGGGGGGCGTGTGAATACCATCAGCCTGATTTGACGGCGGACAAACCAAAAACATCACATAATAGTGTTGGGCGGGGACGTTGCAGCCGGAAATGCCCCTTATTTAGCATCCAGTTCTTCTCAGACTACAGAGTGCCTTTGCAGCTAGTGTTGGTGGGTAAAATGGATTACTCGTACATATCGCGTGAGAGCCTCCCTATGGTGATGCCAGAAACCGCAGGAGGGAACTGGAAAAAAAAAGGTCGCTCTGGATGAAGCCGTGCCGTATTAGCCGTGTATATTGCCAGCTTGGAGGTTGTGTTACCATTGAGAAGCAAAGCAATATATTCCATCTTGGCATGTACAGCTACATCTACTAGAGGTGGGTAGGGGTTGATGCTGTTATACAGAGCATTCTCCGGGCTTATTCTATAAGTGAGGTGGTCTCTATTCCGTATACTCGTACTATACAAGAGCAGAACGAAACACAAGAGTCCTCCCTTTGGGCAGCCGGTTGTTTATGAGGTATATAGAAGCCCAATACGACATGCAACTTGGCGTTCTGTGCTCCAGGATCTACTAACCCCTCTCCATTTGCTCCATTGCTGCTCATAAACCATCCCCATAGACTCCATATTCCCCATATACCCCAATATACCCCATATATGACTTGCGCAGTACAGCACCTAGGTAGGTAGGCATCTATGTGTACCTACGCATGGGGCCCGACACGTACCCATCACGCACATTCTGCTCCACGTCGCTTCATCACTGAATATGTCTATTGGCGGGCCTTTCGGACCTATGTATGCAGATTGCCTTTGAGCTATCCTGCCGAAGCTACCTAGTGCATCCGAGTTACCTAATGAGAATCCCGTCATCCGTTTCCCAGCTTCACCACAAAAGCAAATACCAAAAGCGGCCGTCAGCATCCCTCGTCACCTGGTAGAGTCAGCCTGGAACCGCGTGCGACCTTGGGGATCCCTTCAACACGAAGCTGCTGCCGTTCGGTCCGCTTCGACGCCCACAGCATGTCACAGATGTCGCCCATTTGTCGCCCCGTCCAAATCCCACCGCCAGAACCTGCCTCCCATTCGTATTGCGACGCCGATAACGACATATGTGTCTATGCTTCCAACATGTCCCTGCCTAGGTAGGCAAGGTATTTTCCCTTCTCAGATCTTTTGTGTAAGTAGGGTGCGTCTCATACACAAAAAAGACTGCGTAAATCCGAAGCTGGAACCCCGAGTGTGAATACTATCCGTAACAAGCCTGATATGATATGTGGCCGAATCCTATGTGAACAAAACGCCGTGTTGTTGTTGTTGTCGTATCGAGCATGATCGTACATGCTTTCGAAGATGAAAGAAAACACAAGTGAGAGGAAAGAAGAGAGATGATGAAGCAGAAGAGCACAATTGAAACAAACGCCGAGCAGCCAAAAAAAAAAAAAAAAAAAAAAAACATCACAAACAATATCTGGTACTCCAAAGACAGCGATGCCTCAATCAAGCCTTAGCATACGCCTTGCTATACGCTTTATCTCCGCTGATGCAGCCTTCGACTATCGGCTACCGTTCTTTTTGTTCCCCATCTTGAGGCGCTCCTTGCAGTCTGGGCAGTACCATTTAGCTATTAGGCATTGTTAGCAGCGTCTTCCAATATGACGGAATAGCGCCTCTCGAAAGAGGGCATATTGGAACTTACTCTTCGAACTTGGCGCAACCTTGAGGCCCACACAAGCCAAATGGAACCATTCGCGAGCGCAGTCGTCGGAATCGCACGCGACCATTGCGCCATAACTGATGCTGTTACAATAGCAGTATGTGGCTTCATCCGCATCAACGTCGGCATCCTCATCACCCTCGTCGCCCTGCATGCTGCTATTTCCATCCTCATCTACGAGCTGAGCCAGAGCCTGCGCTCCTGTAACGCCCTTCTTTTGCTGCGTCTTTTTGCCATTGCCCGTTGGCTCTGCATTGCGCGTCGCCCGCGGCCTGGCAGCAGCCGCGTCTTGGAAACTTGGTAGAGCCGGGGTGGATGGCTTGCTTGCTCTTCCACTCTTGGTCGTGACCATGCCCGTGCTTTGCGGCGTAGGCTGAGTAGGCTCGCTCTTGCGATCCGTCTCGTCCACTCTGCTATTCCTGCGACTAGAGGACGTGGTGGTGATGACAGCGGGAATGGGGGTCGCCACAGGCTTATCGTCTACTTGCTCTGGCTCCTTTGGTGAAGGCTCAATTTTGACCGTCACCAAGGGTTCCTTGCCAAGTTCAGAGTCATGGTTGGGGCGTGACCAATTTGCAGCCGGTGTGATTTCGGGCGTGTTGGGGATATTCCCATTTGTCTTCTTGGCCGCCGAAGAGGGGGGCCTGGCCTTGCTGGCTTCTGAGTTTGACTGTATGGAATTCTGTCGCGCGCGAGACGTTGTCGGTCGAGGTGCGGGCGTGGGTGCCGGTGCCGGTACGGGTGATGGGCGGCTCGTTGGCACCTTTGTCTCTGGTAAAACTCCAAGGACAGGAGACGACGCAGCTGAGGGGGACATGGTGGCCGATAGGGCGTTCCTGGAAAGGCACAAAGCAGTCAGCATCATAGTCTAGGCCAAAGGGCGAATAGATACAACGGGTGAGAATAGACAATGGCATACTTCTTCTTGGATTGGCCGCTGCTCGTGGGCAGAGCCTTGCGTTTCTTCGGCACCTCTGGAGCTGGAGTCTCTCGAGGGCTAGTGGTGGGCTTCGTCTTGGATGAGTTGTTCCCAAAGACGAGGCTCATAGCACGCTCCATTGGTGGTGCCTCTCCACCACTGGCGACGGCTTTCTCCTTGTCTTGACCCTTATCTTTTTCCTTTTCCTTTTCTTTTTCTTTATCCACTTTGCGCCTCTTCTGTGGGGGGTTGCCGTTGGAGGAAGCTCCAGTAGATATACCCAAGCCAATGTTGCTACTATCGGCTGTCTTTCGGACTTTGCTAGCGGCGGTTTTCTTGCTGCTGCCGTCCTTGTTTCGGCTATCATGATCATCGGCTTCCGAATCGAGGGCATGCACCTTTTGACTCTTCTTGGCTTGGACAGCCTGCTTTCTAGCGTCGCTGCGAGCGGCAGCCTGTTCTGCTAGGGCCTGTGCCGCGGCTGAAATGGCCGCTGCGCCATCGCGTCTGGATCTTTCAGCCGCCTGAGAAGGCTTGCCATTGCGATTCTCAGGGTAGGCCCAATGCGTGGTGCTTCCCCATTTCGCTTCGTCGCTGAACTCGTTCTCTAAATATGGCCATACATCTTCCACGCGAGCCAGCTGCCTCTGCAGTGCCTCGTTCGCCGTGGAAATGACATGATTCTTCTCCTCCAGCGACACGAGCATTTCCTGTATTTTAATCGCGGTCTGGCGGAACAGCTGGCGGCGATGGAGGTTGGAGGGGTCGAACACGCCGCCATTGGTATCCTCGGTCGAAATCACGGACTGGTGGTGCTGGTTGGACGCAATCCCGTTGGAACTTGCCAGAGCGTTCGTGGGTGCAGCCTTTAGCCCGGTCGTGCCAGAGGCGTCATTGCTCGTTAGCGCTTCGGGAACCGCGAAAGTCCTCGCGGAGGCGATAAGCTTGAAAAGCTGCTCTTGAGGAGCGAAGATCTTGGCGTCGACCTCCTTGAGCAGAGTAAAGTGTCGGACAAGCTCTTTGGGGAGGGCGGTAATGGTGTCGGCAAAGTGGGTGATGGCAGGGAAGATGTCAATGGGCTGGTCCCCAACTGGGCCGCCCAGCGAGTCTCTGGTTCCGGAGCGAGCAGCGGTCGCCGAGCTTCGAGGAGGATTCGTGCGCGTCTGGCGGACAGGCTGCGACCTCCGGTGCGACGGCGCTTCCACGACGGGAGCCTTGGCCGACTTCATTGCGAGGACGGGACAGGTGATTGCTGTGTGAATCTGGGTAGAGGGGCGAGAGCAGCTGGCGAACTTTTTTTTTTTCCCTTTGAGGGCGACGGAAGTGGCTAAAGAGGGAGAAACAGTAAAAAGACGCCTCTGATTGGGGACCGCCTAGGCCATCCTGCTCCGAATGCGAGGTCAGAGAGCCAGATCATGCGTGGGAGACGTGCAGATGGTGCGAAGGTGATGATCAAGCAGCAGAATCGTATCTCTGGGTTTGGGGAGCGAGGAGCACATCTGCCGCGAGATACGGGGGTACGTACCGCCCGATTCTGCCGTTCCTGGTGAGCTAGCGGCGCATGACACAGCGCGCACCGCACTGAAGAACAGCTGTCATTGGGCAGCCGGAAAAAGCTGGGCTCCGAGAGAGCTGTGGTTACAGGTATGGCGTCAGCTGAGCTGCAGACCATGGCGCGCACTTGATTGCCCGTACATATTGGGCCCTATTTATTGCTTCTGACTGTTGATCTAAGTATGGAGCTTGCTTGAAAGAGACAAAGGAACACAGTGGATGTAGATTGGACAAAGAAACAAGAAATGAAAAAAAGAAAAAGAGGGGATTATAGTCTAACACAGCAAATGCATGGCGAGAATCGAAGCGGCCTTCTACCATAACCAAAAAAAAAAAAAAAAAAAAAAAAAAAAGCGCCGGGTACTAATAATATGATATGATGTAATATGCCATGCCTCTCTACAAAACGAAACGGGGTATCGTCGCCATAATCACTCCATCATGCTTCGCGCCTTGTTAGTCCTCGCCTTGACCGAGGAGTTCTCTCTATCCGACTGCTTCTGTCTCCATTGCCACTCCAAGAGCACCCATATAAAGTCCTTTAGGTCGAAATCGGGCCATAGGCACTTGCGGAAGAAGATGTGCGTGTCTTGGTGGCACTGCCAGAGCATGAAGTCGCTGAGCCGCTCAACGCCGCTCGTCCTGACAAAAATGTCCAGAGGGGGGTCATCAGCAGTGTATATGTGTCTCTCGATGGTGTCTACTGTAATGCTGTCGGGGTTGGGCAGCGCCGTAGAGCCATACGACCCCGACCTGGTCAGCAATCGAGGCTCGGGAGAGTCCGGGGGCAAAGTAGTAGAAGAGGAATCGTTATCGTCGAACTCGACATCGTCAAGTGGCTCGTCTGGGATTGTGGGCAGTGGCTCACGTCCATCGAGTTGGTTGGACAATATCTTTTGCCTTATGCGCGATGGCGAGAAGGGGGTGTTCTTGGGCGGCGTCGGAGACAGAAACTCTTGCACGGTTGATCGGATGGCGGTTGTCATCTCTGCCCTCGAGGTATAGGGGAAGCAAATATTCAGGACAGCCCTAAGCCAGACTGTTAGCCGCCTTTGACTCAGTAGAGTACAGGATTTCGATACGTACTTCTTGTTGTGCTTGGTCCTTGCGACAGCCTTGTCCATTACTTCCAGAACGTCTTCGCGTATCAACTCACGCTGGCCCAGGATTCGGACGCAAGCTCCATAGCGGTCAAGGATGTCGCCGTAGGTTGTGAGCTGCTCCAGTTTAACCTTTGCAAGCTGCATTAGTCCTTCGACCTCGTATTTTGGCCGGTTGAAGTTCTCGATGCTGAACGCGTAGACAGTCACGACCTTGACGCCGCACTTGTAGCAGATTTCCATAATCTAGAAACAGCTGTGTTAGCCACGAGAGCAGGGGTAGGTAGGTGGGCAACGAACCCTAGCCAAGGCCTCGAAGCCACGGTGATGTCCTTCGACAGTCTCCATGCGACGACTTCTAGCGTAACGTCTGTTGCCGTCCATCTCGAAAGCAACGTGCTGAGGGATCGGCCCCTGCTTGAGGGCGCCGATGAGCAGCTCACGAAGCTGGTTGACAGCCCATTCTCCCGGTGGTGACTCGAGTATTAGCCTCCGCAAAAGTGAAACCGTGTCGGCCATGTCGAGAGACCAAGACAGAATGAAGAAAAGAAAGGCGTGTAAAGGATCGACGATGCTCTAAGAAAGTCGGCCGAGGGGGGCGCGAAATAGGTGCTCTTTTTTTTTCCTCTTTAATTAGACGATTAAAATGAGGGAGGACGGACGAGGAAAGAAAATGCTGCTGCAAGGGACGGCGAGAATTCAACAGCAAAGGGAGAGCTTCAGTGGAACATGATGGCTAGAATCAACAACAGGCACAGGCCGGAGGTTTTGGAGGCAGAAAACACACTGGACAAAGAATGGATTGGACAAAGGGCCGCGAAAATGCTGTGGCGAAGCTAGGTGGAAGCTCAACTGGCCACATTTGTTCAGCGCCGCTCTAGCGCAGGCTTTGGCGGGCTCGGAGATCTGGGACAGGGGCAAATCGACAGCAAATCCGAGGCGAGACATGGCCCCCTTGCTTGCTGGAAGCTGAAGCACATGATTGCGAAGTTGGACTAATTTTGATCATATGGATGTCTGATGTTCACACCAATAATTAAATATACTTTGTCCATACGGTTGGAGGTTCTGTGAAATTAGTTAGTATACGGAGTAGACTGCCATTAATTCACACTTGTGCCTCTGGCATGGACCTGTCCAGTATGATTTTTCACCACCCCCCGCCTATCGAGGCCAGCAGTAACAGTAACGGTACCCGACAAGAGCCCTACCATATACTCGTACGAGTAGCAGTAACGAGAACCCCTGGCCTCCAGCCTCAGTGGCTGACGGCGGTGCCTGACCCTGATCTCGCCAGTAGGAGCTTTACCTCCATACCACATTTGATCCATGGCTGCCCGTGTGTGTTACCTTATTGTATATTCCCGCCACATTCCAATCATTCCAAGAGAACAACGGCGCCTGGCCCTATTAAGTGCCGCTATTTTGATTAAATTTTTAGTGCTCCGTCGTGCTGATTCTTAGCTGGTCCGGTATTGTTAGTGCCTTGGCCACAGGCTATCAATAATCAGTTCCAAGGTCCATATCCGCCCTGTCTGTAGGTAGGCAAGGTAGGCCAGGTAGGATTCGGGTCCAAATTGCTCGCTGACTCGGCCCCAATCTAGAACCAGTACCCGTAAAAGTCCTGACGTCACTCATTCATCGCGGGCCAATTCAAACTTGCTTCTCCTCACGGCGACTTTTGTGCTCATATGGACGCCAATGGGCTTCGGCTAGGGCCCATATGCAAAGCAGACTGTTGGGCAAGAATATTTATGCAGAGATGCTGCGAGAGAGCTTGCTATCACCTGTCACAAGCTCCGCCATTGGCCCCAGCGCTGTATCCGTTCGGAAGGGCTTGCGGACGACGTCATGTTGACAGCGAGACATGAGCTTGTTGGGTGTCAAAACTGTCCATGGTTTATCGGCCATGTGGCATGGTTTTTATCGCTGAGAATAGATGAAATAGATGAAATCAAGGCACAGTCAGTTACACGGCTGGTACTGCACACAGCTTGGTTGCAGGGCACTCCATGCTTTATACTGCATGCCACCAAGTTCCCTTAGTAACCTAGTGGTAAAAATGGAACATATCGTCATCATCCACGGCCATTAGGCACCAACAGCTGCAGCGTGAACCGCCCGCGAGACGCCCGATAGGTGGTGCAACCACTATAATCTGTCCTGGTCTGTGTTCTTCTGCCCCTCCATCCTCCCGCCTGCCCCACGTTGGACTTGCGCCTCGTAAAACCAAGCTCTCCAGGTAGGAGAAAGTAGCTCATTGCTGATAGGCTATTGCTTGTCCGGTTGCCATTGAGCAGGACGCTTTATACAAGCTCCAGCTCCAGCTCAACTCCTCTTCTCTTTCTCTCTTCCCATCACGCAATCCCTCCGTGTTTCTCCTCTCCTGCATCACGTCCTCCGCTCTTGTCTGGGATATCCAGCATCACGATCCGGATCACCGCGGCTTCTAGCTAAGCTTGCCAGACAGTCCGCCTCTTTCACTCCACCGGCACAATGGTTGTTCACGATGGCCACGAGTACCTCACCGAGGAAGAGCGGCGATTGAAAGAGGACAGAGAGCGAACCAAGTACTGGAAGAAATGGGGGCCCTATGTTGCCGAGCGGCAATGGGCGACAGGTAGCCTCGGCTCTACTATGGAAGCCAAACAACGAGATTACATTACTAACGTTTGTAACAGTACGAGAGGACTACAGCGCCGATGGAGACGCCTGGAGCTGTACGTTGTCCCTTTATGTACTCGTTACCTTTGGAACCAGGTCTAATCTTCCCCTTACTTAGACTTCACGCACGATCACGCACGATCTCGAGCATTCAGATGGGGTGAAGACGGTATTGCCGGTGTCTCTGATACGCATGGATATCAAAACATTGCCTTTGCCTTCTGGAACGAGGAAGAGTATGCCATTCCGATTCTTAGACTTTCAATGCAGAACGTGGTCCTGATGTATGAACCAGTCCCTTTTTGAAGGAGCGTCTCTTTGGGCTTTCCAACCCTCAAGGAAATCACGGCGAGAGTGTCAAAGAAGCCCATTTCCATGTTGATAACACTCCTGTAAGCAACAACTTTCTCCGTGATGATGAATCGTGCTGACTTATCTGACTAGACTGTATGTCTCGACTCACCGCCGATCCCCCCATCTGATGCCGACACTAACATAATGCCAGCACTCTTATATGAAGTTCCTTTACAAATATCCCCAGAAGCCGTTTCCGTATGCCGATCTCATCAAGGAAAATGCTCGAAGAACTAGAAACGACAAAGAATACCAGCTTCTTGACACTGGAGTGTTTGACGACGATAGATACTGGGACATCTTCATTGAAACGGCCAAGGAGGCTGATGATCCAGATGAGCTCCTCTTCCGTGTCACCGCCTGGAACAGAGGCCCTGACCCTGCCCCTCTCCACATCATACCCCATGTATGGTTCCGAAACACCTGGACCTGGGGCAGAGAGCCTGAGGACAAGAAGCCATCGATTGTGGCCCATACCGAAGATTCGGCCAAAACAAAGCACTGGAAGCTTGGAGAGCGATACTTTCTTCTCTCTCCCTCTCCTGGAGTTGGTACTTCAGGAACGGATGTCCTGCCTCAGCTGATGTTTACTGAAAACGACACCAACACTGAGCTCCTCTATGAACAGAAGAATGAGCAGCCCTACGTCAAAGATGCCTTCCATAGGCACATTGTTGGTGGGGAAAAGGAAGCAATTAACCCTGCTCAAACAGGCACCAAATGCGCTGCTTGGTACAATTTCAACGAAGATGGCGGTGTCAACCCTGGTGAATGCGCCGGTATGTGACCCCCTCGCAGAGAGTGTGTATTTCATTTGTTTAGGACTGACAAACAATCACAGTTGTCCGCTTCCGATTCACAAAACGAGACGAGTCGTACCTTGATGAAGAAGAATTTGATGACATCATTGAAAAACGCAGAGAGGAGGCCGATGAGTTCTATTACAGAATCAGCCCCCTTCCACTAACTGATGACTTGCGCAACATCCAGAGGCAAGCCTTTTCGGGGATGATGTGGACAAAGCAACATTACTACTTTGTCTGGGACCAATGGGCAAAGGGAGATCCCGGTACCCTTCCTCCACCTACGGATCGGATGGGAGTCCGAAACTCACAGTGGAAGCATATGCATTGTGACGATATCTTATCTATGCCTGACTCTTGGGAGTATCCATTCTTTGCTGCCTGGGACAGTGCCTTCCACTGTATCCCCTTGGCAATGATTGACCCCGACTTTGCAAAGAAGCAGCTTGATTTGTTCACGAGGGAGTGGTACTGCCATCCCAACGGACAATTGCCAGCGTAAACAACCCCTCCCAGCTCTCGTCTCTGAAATATGGGCAATCAATCATGTCAATAACCCCTGATGCTGACCACTGCCAACAGATATGAATGGAACTTTGGTGATGTCAATCCTCCAGTCCATGCCTGGGCTACTTTCAGAACCTTCAAGATTGAAAGAAAGTTGTACGGACGTCAGGATCTTGATTTCCTTGAGCGGGTTTTCCAAAAGCTCCTGCTCAACTTCACCTGGTGGGTAAATCGAAAAGACGCCGATGGCAAGAACATCTTTGAAGGCGGTTTCTTGGGACTCGATAATATCGGTCTGTTCAACCGTTCTGAGCCGCTGCCCACTGGCGGTGTGCTTGAACAGGCTGACAGCACTGGATGGATGGCGTTTTATTGTTTATCCATGCTCAACATTGCTCTTGAGCTTGCCAAGCATCGCCGAATCTATGAAGACATTGCATCCAAGTTCTTCGAGCACTTCATCTTCATCAGCGATGCCATGACCTTCCGTACCGGGCAGAAAGATGAACAGTCTCTTTGGAATGAAGAGGATGGCTTCTATTATGATGCGATTTCCTGGGGTGGCCCCTGGCTTCAACAACTACCCGTGAGGTCATTGGTCGGCCTCATCCCTCTTTATGCCACCGCAACTCTTGAACCTGAGCTTATTAACAAGTTGCCCTCATTTAAGAAGAGAGTCGACTGGTTTATTCAGAACCGTTGCGACTTGGCAGAGAGGAATATGGCTAGCATCAGGAAGAGAGGAAAAGGCGACCGTATCCTCTTGTCAATCGTCAGCAAAGAGCGCTTGGAGAAGATTTTGAAAAGGATGTTGGATGAGGACGAATTTTTCAGCGACCATGGTATCCGCTCGCTGTCCAAGTATCACAAAGAGAACCCCTTCTCCATGGAAGTAAAGGACCAAGAGTTCACAGTTGGCTATGTTCCAGGAGACTCCGACACCGGGCTTTTTGGCGGTAACAGCAACTGGAGAGGACCAATTTGGCTCTGCGTCAACTTTTTGTTGATTGAATCGCTCCAGCGATTTTACCTCTTCTACGGGCCTGATTTCAAGGTTGAATGCCCCACTGGGAGCGGCATCAAAATGCATCTGGGCAAGGTCTCGGAAGAGATCCAGCACCGATTGCAGCATCTCTTTGCCCGAGATGACTATGGCAGGCGCAGTATCAACGCTGGAGATGATCGTCTTGACTATGACGAGCACTGGAAGGACTACCTCTGGTTCTATGAGTTCTTCGATGGCGATACTGGAAGAGGTCTCGGTGCCAGTCACCAGACCGGATGGACTGGTCTGATTGCTCGACTGATCCATGACACAGGGTAAGTTTAGAAGCTTTCTCGTCTTCCCTTTTTTCCCCTTCTTCTTGAAATTTTGTTGATGGAAAGCTAACCTGAATCAAACAAAGTGTCACCTGTCGTCTGCCGCAGACTCCCCGAACACCATCCGCCACCATGGCGCACTACTTTGACGATATATTCCAGAGACAAGTGGACCAGGGCGTTCCTCACCCTGGCGGTGCCAGGCGCCACGTCAGGCGTTCATCCACAGCTCGCTCCATCGCTGCTAGAAGCGACTTTGACTCATCCGTGAACGGAGTTGACGACGATGCGCGATCTGAGGCCAACTCGGTTCATCATGATGACCCTGAAAGGGCCAAGGAGAAGGAGGAAGCGGACAACCACATGCATCGGTACATTTCTGACCAGCTCTCAAGGTACAAGCAAGAAAACGGCGATGACAGCGCCGAAGGGGATGAGTATGAGACTCGGGCTCGGTAGTCGCCCTACTTTGGTCGCACGAGTACGTGGAGGGGGTTTAAAAAAAAAATAGGTGTGACTTAATCTATATTGTATTTAGAACTACAGTTTAAGGCAAGAAGGTCCGTTGGCATACGATTTTTGATGGATGCAATTGAGTTATGCCTTGGCAGCGCCTCTATTAGTTATGTTACTTGAAATTATATCAGCAGTTGAAAGACGAGTCAAGAGTGTGAATTCTAGACATTTTCTGCTCACAGAAATAGGTCACTTCACATAACGCCACCACATCAGCCAGTATACAGAAAAGCCATTTCTCCATTTTCTAGAAAAAAACTGCTTTCTATTTGCACATGCCGTTGCCACCAATCAACAGCATCTCCCCCCGTTTGGCAACTATTGCGCTCCTCCTCCCAGATGAAATATGGACGCATATAAACCACCCAAAAAATACCTCCTGGCATCACTCTCGTCCCAAGCTCAAAAAAACTCTATACATGTTTGGTGGAGCTTTGTTGATAAAATTTGAGCCTTTTTTTGGTGTTTATAAAACTCAGCCCTTTAGTTGGATAAGAAAGGTTCAACAAAGGGGATTCTTGTTTTGATATTTTTTTACATAATAATTACAGGTTGTCAGTCAGGAGCTTGTTCATCTTGCTGATGCGGGCGGAGACGCTGAGGTCGATGGTTCGGTCGCCGACCTCGACAATGAGTCCACCAACAATCTCGGGGTTGACCTATAACATTGGTGTGTGAGCTGATGTTCTCGGTATTGAAAGATGGGAGCCGATGCTCTCTCAACAGATATATGGAGTGGGAACAAGGATTTAAACGTACAGTGTTGGTGACCTTGAGCTTCTGGCCTTGGCCGACGTAGGAGGACTTGGCAACGGCAGTCTCCAGGCGAGACAGAGTCTTGGAGTCAAGAGCCTATATAGATTCATATTAGGACCAAATTCAAGCTTCAAGAGAGTGGCCTGCCGGCATTGCCGTGTGGCTGCCATGTCGATGTTTGATTCAAGGAATTCAATTCCAAAGTAGACGCACCTGAGCGCTGGTAACGGTCATCTCAACCTCGCCACGAGCAGCAGAGATGATCTGGCCAAACTTCTCAGTAACACCCTTCAGGAGGCCCAGACGGTTGTTCTCGGCGAGGGTCTCGAGGAAGTTCTTGAGGGTGGCGCCGCTGGCACCGGCCTGCTTGACGAGCTCGGCAACAATCGCAGACTTGTCGGCGGGGGTCAGGGTGGGAGCAGCGAGGATTCCGGAGAGCTTGGCGTCCTTCTCGAGGATGCCGCCCAGCTTGGCGAGTTCTTTGGCGGTGGCATCGAGGGTGGAAGTCTTGGAGGCCGCGGTGTACTAAATTGACGCAAGGATTAGCATCTCGTGGTGGTGGCACCAATTCCTCGACGCCCAACGCCGCGCCGCTCGGGAAAAGTACGCAATTGGCGGCTTTGGCATTCGGAGCATCGAGAAACACCGTCTTCTCCCGGAGAGGCGTACCAGAGCAGTGGCATAGGTGCCATCGAGACCGAAGACGGCAATGGGAGCCTTGGGCTCGCTGGCGGCAGCAGCAGCAAAGGTCCGGACCGGAGCAACGCTGAGAGCGGCGGCACGCTGAGGGGCAGCGGCCCTGAGGGAGCGGAAGACTTGTCGCGACAGCATGGCGGCCGTGGGGGATTGGATGGCGTCGAAGGTGGTGAGAGACCGGCTTTCGTAGAGATCGCTTTTCGAGGTTGAGGTTCTCTTCGGCCGGCAATTTTGGATGTGGATGCCTTGCCGAGCGGGTGAGGCACCAACTTTTCTGCTTACATAATGTCGCCTTGTTGAACACAATACCAGGCTCTGTTGATAAGTAGAAGCACGGTTAAGATTTAAATCTTTTAATGTTTATCATGCAGCTCGTCTCATTATTCTCTTTTCATGATGTATGAATCTACTCAATGATTTATAAATCAAAGTGTCCAAACCGCACATCTTCCGGCCGCATAGTAATTGCCCTTGCCCGTGCCCTTTACCCGGCTCTGCCCGATAGACCTAGCACAATCAATCCTGGTGCTAATTCCCAATTCTACGATATCCTAACGCCTTGCCTTGCTCCCTATTAAGCAATACTGCAATTTCGCACAGAGATTGACCAAACAGAAACACAAAAAAAAGATGAAATGAAGGGTGAAGCAGCTCTCGATCAATCACTCTTCATCATACTATCAACGAGGTCTCCGAGAGGACCCCAGTAGTCCCGCCCGCTTGCCAAGCTGTGCTCATCAATAAAAAGCACATACTGCTTGAAGCTGGTATTGAGATGGGGTTCCAGCCCCAGCTCCCGGATTACCGGATAGTGGTGGCAGTAGATGTGAGCGTACACACGGTACATTCGCTTGAAAATTTGACGAATGAGAGCCGGGAAGGACTTGGGGAAAGGAACACCTATCCATGTCGTAAGCAGTCAATATCGGGCAGCGAGCGTGGTACTCGAGACAGGCCACTTACCAATCTTGCTGGGCATGACGGATTCATTGTCGATGTTGGCTTGAACCCATGTCATCAGCTGTTCAATGTAGGCGGGTGCGGGCATCTTGGTCGGCCGCTTATAATTTTCGCTGTCTTGCCAGAGATATTCAAACCTGATTTCGTTAGATTCGCTTTCGAGAACTGTGACACTTGAGATGCGGATTTTGTTCTTACTCATCCGTGGCTTTCATCTCGGGACATGACTGCGGCGAGCAAAACTCGGTGATGGCACCGTAGAGGAGGTTGATCTGGTTGTAGAAATCCACCACTGGTGATGCCATGTTAGACCTTCGTTTTCGCCTGGCAAGATTCTGTGGACTACAAACTCACTGTTGACCGCCAACCACTCGTTCTCATCCTCACCCTCTGGCAGCTTGACACATTTTCTCAAACTGCCTCCTCCTAGGGTGGCTTCGGCATACTGCCTTAACTGGTAGCTGTTCACACCTCCCTTACCGGCGCGCGGGCGGAACTGATTCCTAGTCTTTTGGTTGCTGCTCAGAAATATTTCGCCATCAGCAAACACGGTATTCAAGACGGGCTTGAGCGGGGGATCTTCATAGATGGGCAATATGGGGTTGTCCAGTCGCTCTATCTTGGCGCGAGACCTTGGGCTGAGGTATTGAAACAGGGAGAAGGACATATTGACGGCGGCGACGAAAATGAACATACGAGTGAGGATTGACTGACACTGTCTGCAGGAACTGGGCCATGGCGAGGCGAGGGTCGGGGTTTTGGTCGCGATGTTCGGCAAGCTAAGATACAATACGGTGACCTGGCCTGCGTTCCATACCAACTGGTTAGCGGGGCAATGGATGGCATGTCAAGGATGAATGGAGGAAGAGAGCGTACGGAGCAAATGCTGGCAATCAAACGGAGCTGGCAGCTGGAGTCGCGGGCCGGGGGTGGATGCCCAGATGACGCGAGGATGAAATGCTGGTAGAATGTAAAATGCTAAACCGATGCCAGGCAGCGAGTCGGAGAGTCTGGCGATGTGCTGACAGGCTGTGCGGAAAGATATGTTGATAGACAGACGGATGCGGATAGAGAGATAGAGGGAGGCGGTGGTGTCGCATCAGGGCGGCTCTGCTGTGTTTACAGCTTTCCTGATTGGTATGGTTGCTGGGTAGGTGCACAATTTAGTACGGAGTACGTCAGAGGGGCTTCTGTGCGGCTGCTTTAGTGGTTGGGGAGTACCGGGTACCGCGACAGAGGGGCAGGTGCTGGATATTTGGCGGCGATTTGGCGGTGATTGGCGGATGATTCAGGTATCCAGGTACAGCTGCTGAACAGGACGGACATGATGTATACATGGTAAAGAGAGTGAGGCAGAGAATCTCGCACTACGGCGTTGGCGATGACTCAATGATAAGGCATTGTGTTGATAATTGTATGTTTATAGATAGTTACTTTATAGTTGCAATCGCTGCTGTTTTAATGTATTCTGCTTGATAGCTCTCAATGGCCAAGCGGATAATAACCAGTCTGCTTACTGTTATTGTCGTGTATACCTAACCGGGAGCATATAACAACACAACTTTTTGTATCATTAGATGATGCGGTCAATTTCCATAATCATATTCTCCTTATTGGGCTATGAAATCATTTACAATGGCATGTTGGATTTGCTGCCCATTCGTAGAGACTGGTGACCACATCTAGAGAGCCGAATCGATATTCAAACGCTCTTATTGATACTAGCTGAGGAGTACCCAACAGAGAGGCTAATACTACTCCGTCCGTGCCTCTACATGCAAGTATGAAAGCTATTACACCTTAAGCTTCAAATGATATTTTCACGTGGCAGTACTGATCCCAACGGAACACGACTACCTGGTACCTTACCCGTTACTAGCTCATACAAACAAATACTATTTGATGTCGCAGGATATGCACCAGTCAAGCCCCCCCGGACGTGGCTGTGGAGAATGGCTGCAAGACAGACCGCTCTGTCACTGTGGGCTCTCTCCCATTATGGACTGCCGACTGGAGAAGACGAGTCGAAACAAGAAAGAAAAGCGAGACTTACGGGTTGTTGAAGAATGGGCTAATACATATAGAGCGAGCACATGCATATATACATCAGATAGGCAGGCAGGCGGATGAGAGAAAGCTGTACTGTCGAGCTGAGTGAGCGGACCTGCATATCACGATGCGATGCAATGCCGGGGCAACTCACCGCCCTCAAGCCCTCAAGCCCAGAGAATAAGCATCAGCCTCGATCGGTTCCTGGCCAATTGACGCCGTCTTCTATTCTCGGGGCGGCTAATGACAGCGATTGCGTGTGTTCCTGCGGCTCGACCGGGTTTCTCGTGTTCGCGGTGCATCCAGATCGCCTGTTGCCGGGCCAACGCGCCACGCAAGCGATTTGTTTGGCTCTGGCTCGCCTTGCACAGCTGCAACGGGTCCCACAGTGAGCATAGCATACCAGGCCCAGCGACGCATGTCCCCATTCCCGCCATTTAATCTTTATGCAGCTCGGCTCAGCTCAGTTCCTCAACCGCATCCAACTTCTTCACGACCTCTTCGCCGAGTGTCGTTGTTTTTGTTTTCTCCCACCAACGGACCAGGTCGCGGCGCAGCTTCAACCGGAATCCAGCCAATGCGCATGGTCGTGTCTCGACACCGCTCCTTGTCGGCTTTGGCTTGAAGATTGGTCGTGCAAGCCGTCTGGCTTGTCCCGCGTCTAGCAGCATTCCAAAAGCTTAAAACTAAAACACACGGCATTCCGCTGCATTACAATGGACCGCCGTCCGCCTCCCGGCTATAGCTTGCCGCCGTACGACGACGAGCTCGATTCGCCCACCTCGCCCACCCATGGAGCTGCCGCCGTCAGATTGTTGACATCCGTGGAGGAGTCCGTAGACAGAGACAGAGACAGAGACAGACCGTACGTAACACCATCGTCGCCAGTGGCAACACCAGCATTCCTAAATATGTCGTCCTCGTCCATATCCATATCGACAGCGTCTTTGCAACCCAAGGACGCATCGAAACACCAAGGATCCAACCCCGAGACGTCCACCATGGCTTTCGACGAGTGTCCAGCAGCCGCATCGAGCTTGGAGACCAAGCAAGAGCCGGAAATGCAAGCAGCAACCGCGGCGGATGATCCTCCTCCTTCCCCTTCAGTTCACCACCCCCTCCCCTTTCTTGACGTTAATGTCCCCCCTCCCCTCTACATCAAACAGGTTCGCAAGAACAACACTGCAAAGTTGCACAGTCCAAAGAGTTCAGTGCTCAATGACTCCCCAAATCTCGCCGAGGCTCTGCCAACTATCCCGGAGGGACCAAGTGAACGCTCCCGGCGAAGAAGAGGGAGCCTATCAGCATCGGATCAACAACCAGCAGAACCAGCTGCCCAGCCGGCCGTGGTCGATGTTCCCGTAGCGGAACCAGTTGTGAAAAAAAATAGGCCTACAGTTAGATGGAAGATCAAAAGCTCACACGATAGGCCCATTAGTATGCGATCGCCCCGCCCTCAATATACTCCCAGTGTCGCATCCTCACACACTCGGACGGGGTCTATTCTGGACGATGCTCCTAGGATTCCGCCGCCAGATGCGTCTTACATGTCCTACGACACCAGGGACCCTTCTCATAGGCCGTGGTCGCCAGCCTCTAGACTGACGGATTACTCTCGCCCTCCCGCGTCTCATGCTTCGTACGAACCCTCGGACATCAACGGCAGCCCCAGACCAGGAACTCCGTCATCAAGATACGGCGGCAGTCCGCGGCGCCCTCTCCCACCAGCGCCTCGCTTTGGCAACGCATCGCGGAACTCACAGTTTACCGACGATGTGACCGTCTCCATTCCCCTGAACCATCGCGAAGATGATGAGGACATCTTTGGTCCTGAGTCAGACCTCAGCGAATCTCGCCGTTATGACGACTACGAGCACGAGCGGTATGACCATTATGACGAGGATGAGCGCCCTTATCCCGATGAACGTGACTCGTACCACTCAGGATCCCAGGAGACATTGAGCGAGGAACATGAGTACTACGACAAGTACGAGCACTATGGACCTGCGCCCGATGGAGCGCAAGAGAGGCGTGGTGTCCGCGCTCCGCAAATGTCCAAAAAGGAAGTCCCGCTCATCAACGGTGAGCTGGTCTTGGAGTGCAAGATCCCAACCATTCTCTACAGTTTTCTCCCCCGACGAGACGAGGTCGAGTTCACTCACATGAGATACACGGCTGTGACGTGCGACCCTGATGACTTTGTCGACAGGGGGTATAAGCTCCGACAGAGTATTGGTAGGACGACTCGAGAGACGGAGCTCTTCATTTGCATCACCATGTACAACGAAGACGAGATCCTCTTCACCAGAACAATGTATGCCGTCATGAAGAACATCTCCCATTTCTGCTCTCGATCGCGATCCCGTACCTGGGGTGAAAATGGCTGGCAAAAAGTCGTTGTTTGCATCATCTCAGATGGCCGTGAGAAGATCCACCCACGCACACTCGACGCCCTGGCTGCCATGGGAGTATACCAGCATGGCATCGCCAAAAACTTTGTCAACAACAGAGCTGTGCAAGCTCACGTCTACGAGTACACAACACAAGTCTCGCTCGACTCGGACCTCAAGTTCAAGGGTGCTGAGAAGGGCATCGTACCATGCCAAATCATCTTCTGTCTCAAGGAGAAGAACTCGCGCAAACTCAACTCGCACCGTTGGTTCTTCAATGCATTTGGCAAGGCCCTGAACCCCAACATTTGCATTCTGCTCGATGTGGGAACTCGTCCCGGAGGCACTTCGTTGTACCATCTCTGGAAGGCCTTTGACTTTGATTCCAACGTTGCTGGAGCATGTGGTGAAATCAAGGCCATGAAGGGTAAATACGGATCATACTTGTTGAACCCTCTGGTTGCGTCCCAGAACTTCGAATACAAGATGTCCAATATCTTGGACAAGCCCCTCGAATCTGTTTTTGGTTACATCACGGTGCTGCCTGGTGCCCTCAGTGCCTACCGTTATCATGCGTTGCAAAACGATGAGACTGGCCATGGACCGTTGAGCCAGTATTTCAAGGGTGAAACGCTTCATGGTCAGCATGCGGATGTGTTTACAGCCAACATGTACCTGGCCGAAGATCGTATCCTTTGTTGGGAGCTCGTGGCCAAGAGAGGCGAGAGATGGGTGTTGAAATATGTGAAGGGCTGTCATGGAGAAACGGATGTTCCTGGTAAGTTTCATCTTCATCATCTTCTCCTTTGTTGGTTCTTCGACTGCACCAAACCGTGACACAATGAAACCAAACTAACATAAAATTCTGCAGACTCAGTTCCCGAGTTCATCTCTCAACGAAGACGATGGCTGAATGGTGCCTTCTTTGCCGCTGTCTACTCCCTTGTCCAAATGCGACAGATTTTACAGACAGACCATACTCTTGCTCGCAAAATTCTCTTGTACATTGAGTTTGTCTATCAGTTTGTCCAGTTGCTCTTCACGTACTTCTCTCTCGCAAACTTCTATCTGGCCTTTTACTTCGTTGCTGGTGGTCTAGCGGACAAACGAGTCGATCCATTTGGGCACGGCATTGGTAACATCATATTCATTATCCTGAGATACACATGTATCTTGCTTATCGCTATCCAATTCATCTTGTCGCTTGGAAACCGTCCACAGGGTGCAAGAAGACTCTATCTCGGCAGTATGATTATCTACAGTATCATCATGGTTTATACGACTTTCGCCATCTTCTACATTGTCGTGAGGCAGTTCACGGACAAGGACAGTGGTGTCTCGTTTACACTCGGAAACAACGTGTTTACGAATCTGATTGTCTCTATGACTTCGACGATTGGTCTGTACTTTGCCATGTCGTTCTTATACCTCGATCCTTGGCACATGTTTACCTCTGCCGGTCAATATTTCCTTCTTCTGCCGAGCTATATCTGCACTCTGCAAGTCTACGCCTTCTGCAACACCCACGACGTCACTTGGGGTACCAAGGGTGACAATGTTATGAAGACGGACCTGGGAGGCGCTGTCGGCAAGGGTGAAACTGTCGAGCTTGAAATGCCCAGCGAGCAGCTTGATATTGATAGCGGATACGACGAGGCTCTGCGCAATCTGCGTGACCGTGTCGGAGTTCCCGAGAAGCCCCCGAGCGAGTCTCAGTTGCAGGAAGATTACTACAAGAGCGTGCGAACCTACATGGTTGTCTCGTGGATGGTGCTCAACGCCATCCTTGCCATGGCCGTGTCCGAGGTGTACAGCGACAAGGGCATTGGCGACAACTTTTACCTCCGCTTCTTGCTCTGGAGCGTGGCGGCTTTGGCAGTTTTCCGTGCCATCGGATCAACCACGTTTGCCGTCATCAACCTCATCCACCTGATTGTTGAAGGCAGGATTCGCATGACGCTCAAGTTGCCGAGCTGGGCTGGCGGCGTGGGCGAGAAGCTGAGCGAAACAATGAGCAGCGTGGGAAGCAGCATCACTAATACCCTTAGAACTTGATGTCGCTTCTCTTTTTTTCTTTCTTCTCTTTTTTCCCTAGACATGTATGGATTTCCTTGCTTGTTCACGGTTATGAGGTTATACTTCCCCCCTCTATGAAATGAGAGGCGGTAGGTAGGTAGGTTATCTGTCTGTTTCGTTGGCTTACTCTTCTTTCTTTATACCTCTGAGAGTGTTACGGTCGACGTATACAAACTGGGGGAATAGGATGGGTCTGTCTTTCTGGGGTGAGAGGGTCTTGGGATTGATTTGTTGCCCTCTTTTTATTATTGAAGAGAGGCACGAATGTTTGTTCATGTCGATAACTCTGTATGATGTATGTCTTTTGTCTATAATGAGGTTTGATGGCTACTTATATTCTTGATGATTGGTGATGCACTGCGGCATTACGGTACGCTTTAGATGAAATTGAGTGCGTAGGGGAATTGGGAATTGCGAAAAAGGCGGCAAATGAGAATGACGAATGAGGTTTTTCTTTTTTATGGTTTATTTCATAGCTGTGTAATGGAGATACGAGGCATTCATACACTTCCCGTCAAGTACATATCTGTGATGTTGGCTCTTGGGTTTTTTGATATCTTACTTTCTTTATTTATGTATGCTCAGTCTTTATTTTATACACAACGGTGAGATGCCTTCAGTTGATATTCCAACGCCATAGCGATTTACCCAAAAAGATCTTTTTGATCTTTTTCATTTATTCATCCCACCCAATTCTTTCTTTGCGTGCTATTCTCTCTACTCCTCTTCCGGGCCCTCTTCTTCCGCAACCTGCCACCAGTTAGCATCACGTAACACAAAATTCGAAAACAGGGATGAAAAATGAACTCACATTGTCGTGGAAGTTTTGTCCATCGGTAGTCTCATTGATAAGACCGACACGAATGCAAAAGTCACCAAACTTCTCTCCCTCTTGTCTCTCGAGCGCATAGCGTTTGAGCAGGGCCATCATGATTGTCAGGATCTCATCCTCCTTGATGCTAGCACGGTACAGCTTGTTCAGACGCTGGCCATGGTAACCACCACCAAGGTACATGTTGTAAGCACCGTAAGCCTTGCCAACAAAGGCAACTTCAGCAAGCCAAGGACGAGCACAGCCGTTGGGGCATCCAGTCATACGCATGACGATGGAATCTTGGCGAAGACCGTTCTCTTCGAGGCAGGCCTCGAGCTTGGTGATGAGAACAGGGAGGTAACGCTCCGACTCTGCCATTGCAAGACCGCATGTGGGGAAGGCGACACAGGCTGATGAGCTGAGGCGGAGAGCAGAGAACTGGAGGTTATCGAGCTTGTACTTCTTCATGAGCTCCTTCATGGCAGGAACATCCTCGTCGGCAACGCCACTGAGGACGAGGTGCTGGTTACCGGTCAAGCGGAACTCGCCCTTGTGAACCTTGGCGATTTCTCGAAGACCAGTCTTCATGCGGAAGTCAGGGGTATCCTCAATACGGCCGTTCTCAATGAAGAATGTGAAGTGGTTCACGCCGAACTCATCCCTCTGCCAACCAAAAGTGTCGACGTTGCTCTTGAACTCGAAAGCTCGCGGGGCCTCGAACTTTTGGCCCCACAGGTCCTCGACCTTGCCCTTGAAGACCTCGACACCCATATCGTCAATGGTGTACTTGAGACGGGCGTGCTTTCGGTTCTTACGATCACCGTGGTCACGCTGAACAAGCATAATCTTCTCGCAGGCGAGGTGGATTTCCTCCTTGGGGACATAGCCAAACATGCGGCCAGTTTGGGGATATGTCTTCTTGTTGTTGTGAGTAGCACCCATACCACCACCAGCAAGCACGTTGAAGCCCTCCACAGCACCGTCCTTG